TCACTGATTTTCAACAAGATCTGATTTAATAAATAGCTTAAGATTTGACCATTTGTGCTTGAAATCAATTCTTAATCAGACTAATGGTTCAGTGGCTGTTATACTGTACACTATTATGTAATTTGGTAATACAATAGTCGACTTTTACACCAACAACCCAAACTCAACATACAGTACTGTACATAAACTCTAATAAGATATCCCAAACTTAAGAAGAAAAATATCTCATCTTCAGTCACAGGTTACAAGTACTGTACTGTACCATAATAGTCCACCTGCATGCCTTCTACCTAAAGAACTTGTGACACCATAAAAACATGCACACAACTTGCAAGACCTTACTAACAAGATGCTCCTCATCCACCAAGGTAGAATCAAAGGTTGCACATTGGTACATTCAACAATACAATATACAATACAAATTAAGGTTCCACAGTGTAGACACAAAAATATTCAATATTACTGTATCTGGAAACAAGTGAAGAATTATGTCACTGGTCCAAGGAAGATTCATCCCAAAATAACCCTGTTGAACAGAAGTAAACAAATGAAGGTTGTGCTTACAGAATGCATCATTTTTTTACAGCTACTGTAATTCATAAAATTCAACACCCTGCATACTGTACTGTACTGTATTTACCAATTTCAAGACAGTGACTTGAGTTTATTTACTGTAAAGTAGAACCACACAAGAAGAACACTTCACTTGGGATCACAAACCTCAAAGTAACCCACGAGACAGCAGATACTGTACGAGGCACTGTATGTGTGGATGGTTGAGGGTGCGGGAGGAGAGGCACCCACGTACAGGCTGACACTCTCTTATCTGACAACCTCTGGACCAGGGCCAAGCAGCATGTTTCAAAACTGAACAAATTTCCCTGCATACAACTTAAAGCTAAAAGTGGGTCCCAGAGGCCAGGTAGTTCATTAAGGGCAGTACAGACACAGAACACCAATGACTATGCCTGTTTTCTGTACAATATGAGGCATCATGGCTGGCACTACACCTAACTGCCTTCACTTCCCCAACTGAAAACTTATGTACCCATTCACAGCTGAGTAGACTAAGGGATGCAAACCACTGATCCTTAAATCAGAAAGTGAGCATTGTACCCACTGAACCATCTCCACTCCTATATTAACCTTATCTAATCTTAATTTACAAAAATAAATTACCAACTCACCAAACTTCAATCTTCCCTAACCTAACTTCATGTATCCTAACAAACTTAACCTAACTTTAATACAGTATATCCTAATTAAACTTAACCCAACTTTCCTCAAATTCATCCTAATCAAAGTTAACCAACCTGAAGATTGATCTACTCTCATCTAACCCTCACTGAACTTAATCTAATCTTCATTCTACCCTAACTGATCTTAACCTAACATTAACTTTAATCCACCCACATAAAAACATATACCCTAACTTTGATTTACTCTTAACTAAACTAAACCGAACCGAAATTCCAGTATTCTCGCGAAACTTAACCTTCACATCACATGAAGATTAGGCACCCTAACTTATTTCATCTGGGAGGGTTATATTAAGCTAGGTTAGCATCAGGGTGTTTAATAATTAGGTGAAATAAGCTCGAGTAATTAACGTTCATATGATCCAATTACAGTATGATAAAAAGAGACATTCACAAATTCAATTCTAGTACAATACTGTATTTACATCTCAAAGAAGACTTACCTTGAGAAAACCGAGATGAATTTTGGCTAACAATATCCCACCTTAGTCAGAATCCATACCAAATGACTCACTTCCATCATTCTATCTAATCATTTATTCTTAATTATCCTTAACCACACCATACTCATTCTCGTAAAATTTGGGTTCTTCATTATGTAAACCTAACAAGTTCAATATACAGTACTGACGGCCTTAGTGGTTACCAGTGTTTGTATACCTGCATTGTACCATACAATGCCGATTACTAGTTACATCTCCATTGTCTCGAAGCAAGTTGAACTGTATACCCATACTGTCTATATACATACTGAATCTACTGTAAATTTGTATGATGATTTAGATGAATACATATCTTCCTATCCTTGAAATCAGTAACACTGATCACAAATAGCAGATTGAGTGACAATTCTGTGGCCATATTTAGATGAACACAACAAAACTAACATACTATATGGGATAACCTTATAGCTATGTACTGTCCTGTACCAGTGTAACCTTGAATACAGTACTGTACCATTATATAATTTTCTCTTTGTACTAGTAGAGTACAGTATAGTTACATAATCTTTTATGTTTTTAATACAATACCTAACTCTTTTCTGAAATAATAAATATGCAGGACTACTGATTGTTTATGCTGTACACCACCGCAGAAATAAAAAAAATAATAATAATAACTGAGTTGCATTAATTGGGTGGAAACCTGAACAAATAACCAGTTAAAACAGAAAAGGTCTAAGAACCTTGCCTAAACATTGCTCAAACAAGAGGTGTACTTAATGATAGATGAACCAGGTCGACTCTTGCTAACTGACAAAACTGGTACGGTAGCGTTTGATAACATTCGACTGAGAATACATAACGTACAGGCTTGTATCCCCTGCACAAGGAGCCAAGACATAGGTCCATCACAGCACACACATACACACACACACACATAGGGGTTAATAACGAAGCACTGATCATCTTTTGACAAGTGACTTAAAAATATCAGATTCCAGTGTCCAAGAAAACAAAGAAAAGATTCCGTCCACCAAATATAACTGAGAATCATTTGCCATATATAGTACATTATGTTACTTGTTACAAATTCTTCAACATTCAACTAGTACAGTGTATGTTACTTGTTACAAATTCTTCAACATTCAACTGATGTCTGTCTTCTCTGCTTTTTCACTTTACCCAAAGATTTAAATGGAAAAAAAAATGTATATGAAGATACATTAAAATACAGTTACATGCAGAATACTGTACTGTATAACCTTGAGCCAATACTCACTCCCCAACCTTCATGTACGTCAGCACCACCCACTGACCTTCATTCACCCTCACTGTACTTACCACAAAATCCATACATTCATTAACTTATATTACCCAACGAATTATTGCCACAGCTATAGTCTGTGGGGCTTGATCTGAGTAAACCCTTAATGAATGCAGACAAACTTAAGCCACCACACATAACTTATAATAGCCTTTAGTTACATTTGTTAAGTTTAAGTTGGTTCAGTCACCAAAACCAATGCAAGTCAAAATGAATCAGGTGAACCTAACCTATACAGTATTCTACAGTGAAATATGCTACTATCTGAAGATTAGACACCCGAGCTTATTTCACCGGAAGATTAATCACCCTACCCTAACCCCTCCCAGGTAAAATTAGGGTGATTAATCTTCAGGTAAAATTAACTGGGGAGCCTCATCTTCAAGTGATTGGATATATGTACCAAAATATCACAACTTTGCCTGATTTTAGATGCAACAAACCAATGACTAAATTTGACACATCTCAGGGGTTCATTCCTGCTATAATCACTGTTTAGAGCTGGTTTCTGTTAATTCCCTGACTGCTGGAGACATGGAGGCCAAAGCTACTTGGTGCTTAATAGTGTTACAGTAAAGTGAACGTACATTAATGGAAATAGCAATTAGATAGTATCGAAAAATGGATTCTACAAAGTAAGAGGATTATTTTGGATTTTATGTAACTGAGGATTAACCCCCCCCACTTAATTTCACCGTAAGATTAATCACCCTAACACTAACCTACATTATTTCACCCTAAGATTAACCACCCAATCACTAAACCTAATCCAACCCCACCCCCAGGTAGCTATAGGGTGTTTAATTATCAGGTGATATAAATTCTGGGCTAATCTTCAGGTGATCTATATTATGTCAGTCATCATTAATGGTGATCCCAGACAATACATCCATACTTAACCTAACCTAATCTAAACTAACCTAATCTAATCTAACTTAACCTTACCTTACCTTCCCCAATACATAGTTCATGCACATCACTCAACATGCAGCCTGACATAGCCACATCATCTCAGTAAGGGGAGAAGGAGGAGAATACACGTTAAGTTTTAAAACATTAACGTGCAAAATTAAAGAAGTTTGACTGTCAACAAACAAGACACAATAACACGCATGATACTGAAGAGAACAGCGACACGAGAGACGTTATAGATTAATATTTTTTCAGTGTTGCGGTTGTCAAATTTTTCTGGTGATGAAACAAGAGAAGATTTTGTATTTGTATGTATTTTTTATGGAAATTGTCACCAAAATATTTATTCAAATGCATAATATATGAAGGTAAAGAAGAACAAAGGAAAATATACTTAGAGATGGATTGATATGTTGAACCCAATAACTAACCTGACCAACACTATCCAAGGATCATGAGGCTGTAGCCAGGTCAAGTAACTTTCTTCCCCATTGTTCTCCCTGGGGTCATATATAATGTAACAGAGGAAACTTTTGGTTGAGATTCACATGAAAGAATTATATCCCAATTAACACAAATTCTTCTCATTGGATTTTACAATATTTTCTTTTGTTTATTGTAGATTGTTCAGTGATGAGAGGATGAAGCATTAAGCCTTAGAGTACTGCCTAGGCTCTTACAACTTAATAATAACCTCTGCCTGTCTTACTCCCAATACATACTTCATGTCCTTTAAATATCAAAATATACAAAACTAAATCACCATAAATACAACCATTATTAATATTTAAGGTCATATATATCGAAGTTTGTTTATGTAGCCACTGTTGCTAGGGTTAACCTTGGTAATGTTCTTGACCTGTTTTCATTGGCATAACTTCCTTCATCCTCACCTTCATATTTCACTATACAACATCAATAATAAACACAGTACATCATACAATTTTCTCCACGTCCTGAACTGTATACTTATGATATATTTCCCTCTAATAAATACAACTCCACTACAAATAAGGTAATTCCCTGGTAAATGATCATCTCCATGTCTAGTGTGAATTGTACCTGAGGGCCGCCATTGAGCTTCGGTTTCTTGGTCCCACAACACCCAGCGGACATGGTGGTGGATGGTGGGTGGCTCCTAGGTGGATGAGATGTGGCTGAGAGCTGGTGGATAAGTTTTAAGGGATGGGTGAAGTAGTTTGTGTGGTGGTCGGCCAGACTGACTCGTCTCTCACACCACCAAGACTCACTCACAGCTGATCCGGCCACGTTCAAACCTCAAATTAAAAATATTGCCCTTTTTCTCTCATATTATACCTATTTATCCACTCTATATAATACTTTTTGTGTGTAATATTATAATATATCTAATTTAAGTAATATAAAATTGGTATTATAGATGGTTAAGATAGAGATAAGTGAGAAAAAGCATTACAGTTTCTAAGTTGTTAAACGCGGCCCCTTTGTTTCTGCCACCTTTCATTTTAATAGGAAAATAGGTCAAGTAGGTTGGTGGCTTATTATTAACCTCTCTTACCACTTCATTAATCATTAGTTCAATAATACTCTCTCTCTAACCTTAATGGCAAGACACATCATTTCCATCTGTTTCAAAGTAAAACAATAATCGAAAACCTGTGACTCTGCAGTGTAAACAATTTTCTTTGAAGGAATTTATAATCTATTTTCTTTTATAGAGTTTTTCAGGGAGTCCTCATGTATTTGTTAAGTAGAGACATTGGTGGATATTTATTCAGTAATATCGTCACTCATATACAAGTTTACATTTGGTCCTGCATGTTTATAGACAATGCAAGTATACAGATAATATACATAGATAATGCAGGTACCGAGACAATATACACATACAGTGTAGGTATACCGACAATATGGACAGTGCAGGTATACTGACAATATACATAGGTAGTGCAGGTATACTGACAATATACATAGACAGTGCAGGTATACACGCTATATATCTAGCTCACAACTTTCACTCCAAAAAAGTTTGTCCTGAAAATTCTCTGAACTTGTGGCTTCAACTGTAAGTTGTGACCGCTAGCGGAGCAGGCATCCGCCAGCTCCAGGTATGAATATTCGACTGACTGAACTGATTAATGTCCTCTGGGGTGTTTATAAACTTTTATTAAGTCACCCCTTGCCCGCCTATACAGTAGTATAGGCTAGGCAATTACAGGTATTCTAGTCTCTGGGTATCTGAGGTGCCGTAGTGCAAGCACCAGTTTTCAATCAACTGACAGACTATAGCACATCTCTGGGACCAGAAGGGGTGACAGTACTCCAAATATGGAAGCACCTCACTTTGAAGGACCGTCTAGGTATCTGAAGTCTCTTCTTGTAAGACCTACTAGCTTATTTAATTGATTCACTTTCTTTCTACAATGGTCTGAGAACTTAAGTTCATTTTCGACATACACACCTAGGTCCTTTTCACATTTGGTCTTTGTTAATGGTGTTTCTTTGTCCCATTGGGACATGTGATATACCTTCTTACTGTTGGTACGACCTAGGTGCATTCTTTTGCATTTCGTGACATTGAATCTAAACAACCATTCTGGAGCCAGTGCTTGCCAATGGTGCATAACAGAAATGTGACCAATCTCCCATGCAGTTAACAAACTAATCAGTGGCAAAGAGAATAAAGTAAAGTAATTTCGCTTTCACCCATTTACCTAACGGTGAGGTGGTAAGGCCAAGGGAAGGAGGCCAGTGGACTGTATAGGATCCATACACTGTTCTTGATAGTTTTATCAAGGGCTATTTTGAAGCCCAGTACGGTTCTCAACTGTTCCATAGGTCTACCACCCTGTGTGTGACGAAGTATTTCCCTGTGTTCGTTCTACATAACAACTTTTCAAGCTTGTAATTATGTTCCCTGATGCTGGCGGTGCATAACACCATGAAGAAGTGGCTCAGGTTCACATTTTCCACCCCTTTCAGGATTTTGAAAATTTCTATGAGGTCTGTCCTGTTGTGCCTTGTCTAAAGGGTTGTTAGTCCTAAGGCCCTCATTCTACTTGGATAATCGAGAAGAAATCGGTCTGAAATCATCTTAGTCACTCCATGTTGCACCTTTTCTAAGGAGGTTAGGTCTTTCTGGATGTAGGGTTTCCATGCCTGTTTACAGTAATTAACCAAGAACAGTCAACAAAGTCATCAGATGCTTATTTCCAGCAGGGTCTTTGTTATGGCTGATGTATCCTTGTACATGAAGAATTGTTAACGGGGGAGGATCCAGGAATTTTTCAGAGGACGATGATGGGGTCACCAAATACTACTGTACAGTATATGGAAACTTACAACCAATACATGGGACAAGTTTTTATATACTATTACAGCTACAGTGCTTATCTGTGGTAATGGTTAATCTCTACTTCAGGGCCTAAGTGGTCAAAGTTTTTAGCAACTTCTTAGACTATACAGTACTTGGTTGAATCAACTTAATGTTTACCATTGTTCTTATACTGTACCTGCACTATCCGTGTGCCAGGCTTCGGCTCAAGTACTGTACTTGGTAGTCAAATACCAATTTTAAGTACTTATTCTTTACTTGCACTTAAAATTTCACAATACAATAGTTTGTACTTGCACTTGATGAAATGTACTTCAGAACATTCAGGTACTTTCACTTAACTTTTCACATACAATACTTTAAGAATCTGGTAAACAAGCTTAGTTATGAATCTCAGCCCCTATGCAGCAGACATAAGTAGATGAAACCAACAAGTCTTACACTTTGTACAGTATGTTAAAGTGCAAATTTTTTAGACAGTTGGAGGAAACAATTGCCTGAAAAAGGATATGCTTTACTTCTACAGTCCATTAATGGTGCTGCACTGACAATTAACCTAGAGACAATGCTGACATAATGCAGGATTTTTAAAGTGTTTGGTGAATAGAGCAAGGATTCAAACCCATTGAGTATCAATTCTAGGTCTCTATCTCAGCTGGCGCTTGAGTTCAGGCCAATTTACTGTACGGCAGCCATTTTTAGTTCTGGGGAGATATACCTTGTTTTCATACACTATACAGTACTGTACTGTATTAGGAACCTATTTGAAAAAAATCCTCTTCTTTAACCCACTTTCTCTAAAAAACACTACAATGTTACAGTATATGGTTATTACCAGTAAATATTTACACTTATTGTACCTATATACAACATAACATCCATGTTCTATAGGCAGTCCCCGGGTTACGAACGAGTTCCGTTCCTGGGGACGTTCTTAAGTCGAAAATGTACGAAAGTTGAAATAATAGTATTACATGCTATGCCCATATACCATACTTACAGAACAATGCTTAAATTCCAACTATATCATAACCTAAGTCATTATGTACATCTAAATTCACTTAAATTAAGAGAAAAGAATAAATATAATGACAAAATACAGTAAATGAAAGTAAAAAATAAGTCATTAGGTAAATAAAATACTATAAATTTAAAGTTTAACCTCATTTGTACTGGCGGGTGTTCGTAACCCGGGGACTGCCTGTATCTGGGTTCTTTGTGGACCAGCCAGTGTGTAGTACAATGACTGTTTACACTGGTTAAAGCTCACAGGATGATAATACAGTAATTACAACACTTGTTGAGTTTTTAGAGAGGAAATACAGTACTAAAAATGTATTAAATATAACTGCCCTTAAACAGCCATGGAAGTTATACTTAGTACTTATATCAGTGCTAGCCATTACTGTATGTCCCTAATGGACTTAATGGATGAATCACAAGTCACTTTAGAACAATGCAAGACCATCAAATAAAATCACTGTTGGTAAATAGTAAGAAACTGTTACTCTTTTAACACCTCCCTTATCATCAAATATCCAGTATTTTCTGTCCTCATGCCCTATTGATCCTTAAGAGACTGTTCTGCTCAATGAACCTTTAACAACAGCTACTGACCAATTTTACATCCCCACCCATTACAAGACTCAATTATATATCCCCATTTATACTTTGATCTTTTTCTACTTAATGCAATGAGGTTAGTAACAAGAGAATACAGAACAGACACACACATATTTTCCTATATTCAAAGGTATTCACTCATTCCTACTACAGTATATTGAAAGTGGGTCCTATAGGTACAGTGTGGATACAGTACAGTACACTGTATACTAAACCTTCGGTACATAAAGAGGCATGGCCGGTACTGCACACTCTACTGCATTCACTTCCCCAAGTTGTAAACTTAGGTACCCATTTACAGCCGGGTGAACTGGGAGTGCCTGATGATAAACCACCGATCCATGGAATGGAGTGAGTGCTGTATCCAATTGGCCACTGCATTCCATCCTGTTATAGTACAGTACAGTACAGTACTATAAAAGACATTCTGCTGTAGTACTCCTCGTCAAACAATCCTATTGGTCAAGATAAAACAAAAAAAATCCAGTAATCAAAATTTTTTATTTACAAGTGTAGAAAGTATTACAGAACAGTCAGTATTTACCTGTTAAGTCAACTTCACACAGGCTTGGAGGGGACTGATACGAGGAGGCATGTTATAGTGCTATGATGCTTGAGCTAAATTGAAATAGTTAAAAAAGTGAATTGACTGTTGTAACAAAATTCTTTCTTTACAGAAAAAAATCCCTACAACAGATATGGTAAATGTTAAACTATCAAAATAACCTAAAAATGAAAAGCCTCAATTCAATATGAAGTGGGCAGACCTAATGTACAAATCACAATCATGAATATTTTGTATCTGACATGACTTAGTAGTTTCACTCTAAGCCTCTTGAGGTTCTCATAATTTAATTTATGGTTCTTTAAAATATTTGTAGTACGTACGGGTATATTAATTGTCAGTTTGGATCTTGATGATGACTTGCAACCACTATATTTCAGGGTTAATTACTTTAACCAGTCATAAAACAAATTACTTTTAAACCGGGTTTTTTAAGTAAATGATATACAGTAGTTCATATAATTCGTTAAGGCTGTCTTTACAACTTAATATACAATATCAGTTTTAAACAATCGACAAAAAACATATACAGAAGTTAGACTTTACCAATACTCAAGTGTCATAAATTTTTTGGTATGACAGTAAGAGTTGTATGTTAATTTATCTACGGATTGTTATACTGTATGTAATGTTTGGTACACAAGAATACTATTTATTTTCTCTTCGGTTTATCTCACAGAGGAAAACAGTTGGTTAAATAACACAGTTTCTGACCTCCTACACAACAAGCTCCTATAAAATTGGGGTATGGAAAAATGTGAATGTTAGTGTATGCTTCAATATTGTTAGGATTATGTCAAAACCATAAAATTTTGCACATAATGAATGACAAGGCAAGGATCCAAAAGTGACAAAGATCATCAGATCGGTTGGTAGTAAACTTAGGAACAATCCCCTCTGAAGAAGTACCATTTCCTCACACCTTGACAAGTCCTCTACTGCCTGGGTTACCATCTGTTTCTTTAAAGGTTTTCAGGTTTTTCCAAGGCCAGTATAGAAAGCTGTATTGCATGCCCATGGTGTATACAGGTACACTATTATCTTGTAACCATAAGCCTGAATAACTCTGAACAGTGGAGGTTTCTCACAAAAAATATAACATAAAGAATAATCATGTTGTGCCGACTATTAGTATCATCAAGAAATACAGTACAGATACACTGAAATATATCAATTCAGCTTTAGAAGGTGGTAGACTTGAAACACAGTGAACCGACATTTTCATATTACATATCATCGCCTCACGTATCACAGCAGGAAACTCGAAGTTTATAACGTTATTTCCCACTTGTACAGCGTTATCCAAGCACATGGACCAGGAAATAATTATGGTAGAGTTTGTAAATAAGCTGGGAACAGAGCAGAGATGACTAAAATGCCAACTATATTTTGTTTCCTCCCAATATATATATACATACACAGTATATAAATATATACTGAATATATATATGCACTGTACTAAATAGGCAACTTGCCAAAGAGCATAAATTTAAAATATCTTACTTGTTATCAGAGTTCAAACTTGTGTGTACATAGCAGCAGTCACCCAGTTCAATTTAGTAATCCTAAGTCAATTTATACCAGTGCTAACCTAACAAAGTTGACCACACTAACCTTCCCTCATGTTAGTTATGATACGTTTACTGTACAGTATATCTATCTTGAATTACAGTATACAATTAATACTATCAACAAAAGGCTACAAGGAGTGTCAACTAAGAAGGTTGTGAAATGAAAAAGAAAAGAATTTAAATGGCAAATTCAGGAGTTAATGAAAACTTAATTGGCATGTTTAATCTACTTTGTACAGCACACATACCAGGAGAAGTGTATGTACATGTGTGTGTGTGTGTGTGTGTGTGTAAACAGTGCTTGGAACTTGTTCTGATTTAATGATTTAGACTAATATTGCATATAACCAAAAGAAATCCAAAAGAAAAAATCAAACGAAAATTCAAATTGTCATAAACATAAATATTTCCTCCACTAGTACTAAACTGACTTGTAAACTTTGCCATGTACTAATGTAAAAAGTCTCATATATTTTATTTTTGACAAATTTAACCATAGTAAAAGTAAAAATTATACCAGGTAATATATAGCACAAATCTACTCATCCCCTTGGCAAGTGTAAAAAAATATTCTGGAGACTGGTAAAATGCACCTATATCTTAGTGGACGCAGGTATGCACACAGTATTTGATTTACAATTCTTTCCTGTCATTATAGTTCCAGTAGTAGCTATTTCATAATTAATTACAACTCTAATATATTTTTTTTACAAACTCATCGTGGGATTATAAACTGTGGTCAACTCCAAAACACAACGAAAAGTCCTCAAACGAACTGAAAGAGAACATATTGAACACGGCCTTACCTATGGGATAACTTAAGGTTGTCGTACGAAAATGCCCGTTAGTTGTCGATGAATAGTTAACTTTGAAATAAGCGGGAGAGAACATAAAAACTGTTAGCTAATTTCCAATCTAAAGTTTATACACACTATGGTTTACTGCAGTTAGTGATCACATTACTCAATAAGCTCCTGACAAACATAGGAAACTTAATTTTAACATAATTTAAAAAAACAAAACAAAAATCTTGAATATGAGGAAATTTAAAGTCTCTAAAGGGTAATTGTGATGATGACATCTTTTGTTGCCTGAAGATAAAAAATAACGCTGGTCTTCTACAGCTACAGACTCACAAACGTACAATGGCTTCTCTTCTCTCACGATAAAGACAAGCAAACTGACTGTAGCCTGTGTCACTTTCTATTGTTTTCTTTTTAATGGACTTCCACAACATATATGAAACTTCAAAACAATATTTCAGCTTTGTAATTATTATATGACCAGTTACAGCCAACAGGTCATACTGTACATAGGTACTCCCAACTGCATTCCATTATTAAAGTGTTTTTTGTTTTCTTTGTAATATATTCTATGAAGCTGACAATGATGGATAACTTATCTATTTGCATAATAGTTCTTTTGGCTTTTTTATAGTTTTTTTTTTTACCAAGTTTTTCTTCACCTCCAATGATAGCTTTCCTCGCGCCGGTATATAGTAACCACGTGCACTAACAACTGGTAGGCTTCTTGATCATTTAATGTAACTGAAAAAACACCATATGTCTGGAAACGTGATATTTACTGATGATGGCAACACAGATAATGAGTCTTTGTCTTTTTTAATAGTCACTTCTTATATATTAAAATTCCACACATTGGTCTTGAAAAAAAAAAAATGAAATTAAAGTTCTTGAGCTGTTATAAGTTCTAGCAGCACATCTACCCAGCCCCTAGACTTGAGTTGGTTGCCCCGTGATGATCGGTCTTGCGTACTCGACAAAATCGTCAATTAATACAGGCCACGCTCCCTCCTCATCATAGTTTGACAAATCTTCGTTAATCATCAAGGCAAAGTCCAGAAGGAGATTCCAAGTATCCTTTGGTATGGAGCGTTTGTGGTGTTCCTGCAAAAAAAAAGTGTCTAACAGTTACTCATCCTCAGTGAAGGACTACGTACACACACTCCAAAAAAGTATCTTTATGGAGAGCTCCGATGAATTTAAAAATGTACACTGCGACTCCGGTTGTCTCGGAAGAATTGTTAAAATTCATCCAACGTTGTGTAATATTGTCCAGCACAAAATTGTTAAGAATATTTTATGGAGTGCGTGTACCATTTCAAGGAGGAAAAAGAAAATCACATAGTAAAAAATGAGGGTCAGTGAAAAATATATTTATAAAAATAAACATCCCAAAATGTAATTTCCTACATTTACACAAAGATTATCCAAATAAAATTTTCATTAACGATTTATTATCATATCTGAAAGCATTAGTGAGACCTGCAAGAGCTGAATACCCCCCTGTATATTTATCAAAGTGCTGTGTCAAATTATTTCTCACAAATCACACATGCAGAATTGTCTCTTTGAAGAGTATTCACAGTAAAGGTCTTCTGGAGTGTGTATTAAAAACTGTGCCATTGATAGCATCCACACACACATAAAACTATGGCCCTAACACACACGCACGCATGCACACACACGCACGCATGCATGCACACACACACACAAAACAGTGGCCCTAACATCCACACACACACACACACACAAAGCAAAGGACCTAACATCCGTAATAATAAATAATAACTCTTGCCCTCATGTTCAAGGACGGCCAGCCCTAGACCCACATAAACATGAATTTATTGAACATGTAGAAGCTGTCGTCAACACAACAACCGCTCCCTTAGTTAATGAGCCGCATGACCCAATGTCAAGGAATAGTCCAAGAAGACCGGACAACTCGCCAACTGCACTGGCTAACCATTACCCCGGAACATGATGAACAAATCGATTAATGTCCAGGTTCCCAATTATTGCTGTGAGGCGAGCATGCTAACCATTACACCACAGGTCGCCCTAACATCCCCAATCACACACACACCTAAAACAATGGCTCCAACGCCCGCCCACACACACAATGGCCCTAACATCCACACACTTACACAAACCAATGACTCAAACACAGGAAACAATACTGTAGTCATAACTTCCCGAGGGAAATTCTCTTACATCATACATTAACTGACTAAAAACTACACCACCATCAACTTACCTGGAGAAATTGACACCATAAATTGAGTAAGCGGAATCTTCCTTGAAGGACAATATTCCAGTAAGCTAGCGCCATATCCAAGTCCAAACCCTTCTGTCCAGGATTCCGTGCATAATTAAATGTGAACTGATAGAAATCCTTGAATTTTGCTGTATCTCTCAACTCGTGTTCCAATGTTGGTAGCTTAGCTTTGAGTTTATCTATGCTGTCACATCTGTGGTAGAATACATAGTTTACTCATACAGGACCACCTCAACATTAAACAGCCCTCATTTTACCTGAAGATTAATTACTCAAATGTTACCTGAAGGGGTTAGGTTAGCATTCTGCTGGGTAATCTTTGGGCGAAGTGGGTGTCTAATCTTCAGGTGATTTTCCATACATTATGAATAACTTGACACAAATATACCAACATACAGTGCTCTTAGTTACACACTGGGTCACTAATGTCAAAAAACAACAAAAACTAACCTTAGCTCATCATAAACTGTACGCACATGAGTGGATATAAACATGCAGTGGGATATGACAAAAATAACCCTGACTAATAATATGGTACAGAGTAGACAAAGATTACCTCTTACATGGTTTTTGAAGTTAAAAAATACCAAATAAATCTTTATCAATAGAAAAAATAAATAATTATTAAGAACAGGGTATACATTAGAGTACAATACAGTACTGAGTTAGTTACTCCTATTCCTAAATCTTCTACTGTTTTCATTGAAGATTTACTTCAAAGGAGTGAGGACCTGATTCAAGCAAGCACAGACTATTGCAACTACTTTAGTGTATTACATCAAAATAAACAGGCAACATGGGAACATCATCTCTGCCAACAAATTGAAATAAGACTACAATAAACATATTCCTGTTGGTTTGCACTAAATGGTTATAATTCAATTTATAATCTCTTACAACTTCTGGCCTTTGTGATAGCCAGGTAATTAGGAGACTATAATGGTACCTTTATAAAAGGTTAAAGGTAACAGAAGAATTAGTATAATAAGTGTACATTACCTGGGGAAGTATAGAGTATGGTTGTTGAGTAACTGAGAGGGTGAGGGAAATAAGGCTTGTAAAGTAATACAATACAGTACAGTACTGACCCATAAGAGACCAAAGTTGACCTACTCCTATGGTTTGTTTCAATTTCTTCCACACACACTTGGAATATTTACTATGATTTATGATTTTTTTTCTAAAGTTTTTTGGAACACAAACACTCCAAAAGTTGGGATCTGCCATATCATTAAGTATTGTGAGAGGTGATAAAGGTTTAAGGAGTTGGAATAAAGATATTTGATGCAGTGAAGTGTTAACCACCTGTCATCAATAATTTACGATGTGTCAGCCCCACTTAACCATCTGTCATCAACAATTTACTGATGTACGTATATACAGCAACATGCTACAGGTTGGACCCCGCTAATCCGAGACCCAATAGTCAGGCCGCTTCGATGGTTCGGGACGGTGTCATGGCTCACTTCTAGTAGCTGTTGCCACTATTTTACCTTTAAATTCTTATCATTTTTCCTTAAATATGCCTCCTAAGAGACCAGCAAGCAGTGGAAGTGGTTGTAATGTGGCAAACATAAGCATGAGACATTAACTATTTTAGAAAAGATGTCTAGTATACAGAAGAAATTAGACAGTAATAGTACATTTTCTGCATTACTGTATTTTGCCTTTTTAAACCTCGGCTTCGATGGTTCGGAATTTTTGCTAGTCCAGAACTGGTCTGGTGCCAAGCCTCCTGGATTAGCGAGGTCCAACCCGTATTTAAGTGTAATTCCTGCATATCAAAATGAATGTTGCTTTTAGTAAGAACATCACTTAAAATATTTCCTTAACACACAGGTAACCCAATAAAGAATTTTATTAATTTGAAATTATTCTTAATGTATTTGGTGAGGGAGTGTCAGTTCCAACCACTGCCATACAATCTTAGAATACATTGCATAGTACTTTTCTATTTATAAATTTGTCCATATTTTCATATACAGTAGCTAAGAGTTTGTGGCCGATCAGACATAACAGAAAGCCACCATTATCTTTCACTGTATCTGGGGTGTGGAGACAGTCACGATGCACCTCATACACGAAGCTCCTTGCTTCTGTGCATAGTATGGAGATAACTACTCAACAATGCAAACTAAACCTGAACTTAAGTTACTGTGAATGTGAACAAGAATTGAGAAGCATGAATCCCACCAACTTCCTTACTACTGATGCCCTGTAAACTTACTAAGAAAGGATCACATGAAGATTAGGACTCCCCACTATTTCACCTGATGATTAAACACCCTAATAATACCTGAAGGGGTTAGGTTAGCATTAGGGAGCTTAATAATTAATCTTCATGAAATCCCTTTGATTGACCTGAAAAAATGTTATAGATGTCCCCCACACAATTTGAGTTCAGATGAGGGGGGGGGGTTGCACAAAGCATACATTATACTTTTATTAATGTGAAGCATCCCGGTAATACATAGGTCAATTAGGTTTGTCTATGAATGTATGCAAGTGCACTATGTACACATATATTCTACAATTACAATATGTGCAAACACATTACTGGGATCTCATTAAGGTTATGAACCCCCACTTATTTCACATAATGACTAAACACATCATCATCATTGTGTTTGGTCATTTTCCACATTTGTATGGGTTAGCCATGGTTACCTGATGGCAGCTCTCCATGCTGCTGGGTCTCTTGCAGTCTCTCCTATCAGGTTCCTAACTCTTTATATCTTTTCTTACAGCCTCTCCCCATGTTATTTTTGGCCTACCCCTGGCCCTCCTTCCCTCCACATTTAGGCTCAGGCACTTCTTGACCCAATTTGTGGGGGGGGGGGGGGCATTAGGGTGTTCAATTCTCAGGTGAAATATGAAAAGGGGCCTAATCTTCATGAGATCCCATATATACATACACAGTATATACAGTACATATTAACATTAATAAATAATTATTAACTGACCCTAGTTCAGTAAATCCATTCATAAATTCATCTCGAGTAAATTCGCATTGTGTGGCAGCCCGTAACTTCCACGCCAAGATGAGCACAAGACGTGAGTCTGGAGATAGGTCGAGGTCATCCAATAGTCGCATGACCCCATCCACGAGAATTTTATTTGGTTCGCTCGCATCTGTGAATAAAATTAAAAATAAAGTCAATTAAAAAAAGAGGCTACATATTGTGGTACAACCATCATACTTTACACTTGAGATAACTAAACAAAATAAAATGAATAGTGGCGACAATTACACCTTTTAAAATCAAATTACTGTACTGTATTGCACATCAATAAAACAAAAGTTTCAGGGTGTGTTTAGTACTGGACTGTACTGTCATAATATTACCCAATAATAGCTGATTCTAGGTGTTGTTGTACAATTATCATGGATGCTGGTGATTGTGGTTATTAACAACAGTAAATATAGTAAAACACCATTGCTAGTGCTGTACTGTAAAGTATTTGCCGAACGATGATCATCTCCGAATTCCCTTATTTCTAGCCAAGAATTACATGGCTATAATACAGTACCCTTAACTGTCAGCTAAGGATCCCCCCCCCCTTCCCTATATATACACAAAAATGGAATGCAAGGAACATGAAACTCTCACAGATGAAGACTGCCATTTAAGGCTTAAATAATCAAGGGCTACACTATTTCTATGGTGTTAATATCTGTTTGCTAAAGCCAAAATTCTGTTCCTATAAACTGTCGGCTTTATTCATGCCACACTCTTAACACTATAAATAAAAGCAGACAACACTAGTTTTTTTTTTTAATCCTGTTTCCACTTTATTTTTTACAGAATTAATCCACCAGGGCGCAGGTCAATAACCAACATCAGGGCCTGGGGCGAAAATATAATAATAATAATAATAATAATAATAATAATAATAATAATAATAATAATAATAAATTTAAAAAATATTAAATAAACATATAATACAGTACTGTATAATTCAATAATAATAAAAAAGGACCATACATAATTAAAAGAAAAAGAAAGATCAATAGTGAAAAACGATGTATGTTGTGTTGTCAAAGTAAGAGAAACAATTGAGACCCTGCAATTGTGTGTAAATGAGGCAGAAAGTCATAACAGTAACCTGGGACTTGGTCAAAATTTTTGTGATGCCATATGGCAGCAGGGTCTACCATTAGACAAAACATTATGCTTCCAATATCTTCCCCGGCAGTACCCTGTATGATAGCTGCCTACTACAGTACAGTATCTCAATGTATTTGTGATATAGTTTAATGTAAATGGTCTAATTCTATAACAAGTTATCTGTATTCATGCTACTGAATATATACAGTAGTTATACCGCAGAGGCCACAGTGGTGTTACCATCAGCCTGGCGCCACAAATGAGTACAGCCCATACCTTTTCTTTATATAGTTTTGTCAGGCAATGAAGTTAGAAAACTTTTCGTAGTTTCATAAAAGTCCTTATTTACATTACAGAATACTGAATATGTCATACATTAATCAATAAAACCACAATGATGAGGGGAAGTATCGCATATAGCAGGTACTGTGTTCGTGAAATTTACAAGTTGTTTTCAAAGGAAATTTCATATTGCTGGACAGACTTGTTTAGGATAAAATAACATGTTATGGGTATATTTTATTACAAAAGTCACACAAACATGAAGTGTTATCACTTAGGAACAAAAACTATCTTGTCAATACTGTCCTGTATTATGTTCTAATAAACGGTTCCATTTACTGATGTTGCACCCGAAACATTAATGCAGACAAAACTGTTACAGTATTTCAAATTAGTTTTTTCTATTTTCATTTGTTTGCTTCACTCATATACAGTATACTGTATTCTGAATATTTGTGATAATTATAATATGAACTGGCAGATCACATGAAAATTAGGCATCCCAGCTTATTTCACCTAATGATTAATCATCTGGTGTTAGCAAAATAAAATATTAAAAGTGCTGTCCCCATTGTGAAGGGGTTAACACCCTAATGGTAACCTAACACCCTTCAGGTAGGATTAGGGCATTTAATCATCATCATCAATGTTTTATGATCATTTTCCACGCTTGCATGGGTTAGCCACAGTTACTTGGTGGTAGCTGTTCAGTAAAACCACAATGGGATGTCCTACCCCCCCCTCACCACCACAAAACCTGGGAGCCAGCTAAGAAAATGCAGCAGAGACCAAAGGATGGTCACAGCTCTGGTGACCTGGTTACCATCAGGCAAGATGAAATAAAGTTTTACAGTTAGATGCCCTTCCTAAAACCAACCAAAAGGACAACATCAAGTTGGATGGTCACCTGCAAACCTTCTGGGTAGTGAACAAGACTTGTTCCTTCTCCCTCATACCCATGTCAAACGATATAAACTGGGGTGCCTAATCTTCATGCGATATGAACTGGCCAATTATCGTATTTACACTATAAGAAGAACCCCTAAACACGACCACCATAATATTACCAGCCACGAACCGCACCAGAACAGTGTCTGTACACATCTCCTTAAACAGTAATGCTTTGTCCACCATTTTTACAATTTCTAATGTTGATGTTAATAATAATACTCACTAGCTTGATTAACATATTATACAGTATAACACCGAAGACTAAAAACAAATAGCAGTCAAAAAATGTAGATGACGAGGAGGACTGACTATGGATGGAAACCTAACCCCTCACTAAGGAAATTCTTCTTTGTATATAATGTACAGTAAGTACAATACAGTACAATACTAGACCAGGTTCACTGTATTAACGATTACTGGCAGGATGAATTGTTTACCACTGTTTGTATGCACACTGTCTGGGTATATTGTTTGTACAGTATATCTGCATGGATGAATTGTTAACCACTATGCACACTGTCTGGATATATTGTTTGTATACAGTATGTGCACAGATCAATTGTTTACCACTGTTTGTACACACACAGTTTGGATATATTATTTGTCTATCTGCACGGATGAAATGTTTACCACTGTTTGTATACCCACACTGTCTAGGTACAGTCCCCTTCACTAGTGCACTTACAGCGGCTCGTCATATAAACATTCCACAATTCACTACACTGAGATATTAGTTTTAATATTGTTTTACTTTTAATCCATAGTATGTTTACTATTGTGAGTTTCCTTCTGTAGAATGTAAACAAACACAGGGTTGCCACACTGCACAAAACCTGACGAGACCCTGTAAACGCACTAGTGAAGGGGACTGTACAGTTTGTAAATCAATGTAAACTTGTAGAATGTTTTTACAGAATATATTTCTACAGGTTTCTATCTACTGTACTACACAAAATAATGTAATTTTAATTAACCATAAAAATCCCTTATTGGAAACACCCACAGTCCTGTTGACTTTAAATAAGATCAGTCTATTATAGCACCACAAGACATCTTATATTGTGAGTTGTAAGGTTTTGGGGCTGTGAGAAGGTATTTCAACTTGCCTTAAGGAGAAGTTGTAAGTGTATGATGAGGACTACTGTATAAAGGTTGCTTAAGAGGATTAGGATCTTATGAAGGTTAGGTTCCCCATTTATTTCAGATGATTGAATACCCTAATACTAAATGGAGGGTTCAGATAGGGTTAGGTTAATCTAGGTTAGCACTGGGATGGCTAACCATTTAGTGAAATAAATGGAAGTTGATCTTCATGAGATCTGAGAACCGTGATTGAGTTCATCTTGGCTCAAACATTTGATAAAAGTCTAAACTTCCTGTTGAGTCACTTGGTGTGAACTGATGTTGTGCATAGCTACCTCCCCCCCCCCTCTCCTTTATTCATTTAAAAAATAAAGAACTAGATCCCACAAGCAGAGAATTTCTATCACTATGGATTTTTTATCTTTCCAAATCACATTCAGGAAGTGTGACCCCATGTACACACTGCCAGAATATAGTTCACTAGTATCATAATAAAAGCTTCTACTTATATCATAATAACTACTTACAAAAACGGATTTGATGAACATAAAAGTAAATGGAGCCAATCCTCAGCAGTTTGAATTTCAACATAAAAATTTCCACGATTATTGATTTTAATATTTTAAACAATCAGGTGACAGACATAATAACTGAACTCATAAGTTACGTTAAATAAAGTTAATCATGCATGAGAATATGAGTGTCAGACTGTTGTTTACAATTAGCTACAAGGGAGATGATAATGAAACTCTTATGAATGATGACATGAACCAAACTAACAACAATAATTATAAATTTACTTACGATCATTAGTCCTGTAAGGTCAGGTTGGTGTGGTTCATGACACCTTGTATATAAGATCACAGTCTCATGCACCTATGACAGACGCCAATATTTGTATGCTGACCCAAGGATAAGGTGAAGGTATGACTATAATATGATCCTAAATAACCCAACTGTCACATGTCATGTCTCTCATCTGATTTTGACTAAAAACATAAAATTTAATATTCAAAGAATGTTTTAAGTGTAGGTATGTGAGTGATTGATAACGTCACATGTTATTGGTAACTAAGGTGTAACACGAAGAATGTCTACCTTTATATCTGTTATATAGATGTTCTAACTTTTTCTTGTCAACTGACGGCCGTTGTTCTCTGTAGTATAAATCAGGATTTTGGAAGAAGTTATCTGATGCAAGTTCGAGTTTCCAGTCATTCTGAGCCAGGCAATAGATTGCTGTTTTCTCGCCCGCTTGGGTGAAGGAAATAAACTGCTTCACTTTTTCTTTCTGGGCTGATTTAAGCTTGTGCTGCAAAGAAAGGTCATATGGATATTAACCCTACATAACATGATTCTCCTATTATCATCAGAATATGGCTAGGTAGTGTATAATCATCATACATTTCACAATATTCCCTGACTCACCATTGCTACAGCTGATCAGATTGGAAACTAAACAAAGATAAAGCGCATGCGCAGCTGGCAAGATGTCAGGCATACTCACAAAAAACGAAACTTCCTTTATATTTTGTTTACAAGAGGGTTATATTTATTTCCTCATATTACAATTAGTGGCTTTATTTCCTCACTAATTCAATATTCAAGTGTGTGGATCTTTTTATACTTTGAGTTACAGGTAAAATTTGATAAACATTATATACATGCACTGTCTACATTGTCTATATATACATGCTGAATCAATGTAAATTTGTATGATAATTTAACTGGGTGAATATCTATCTATATATATCTAACAAGACTGTCTAATTTCGTATAATTCAAAAAATGCCTAATATGGCTAAATTAATGTGATAGCAATTTTTTTTTAACTTGCACATAAACACTACAGTATATAGTATGAAAATGATCAGATAATTTACAGGAAATGCCTAAGTATAATTTACTCATGTACCTGAAGAGAAATTTGATATAAATATGCATTATCTTAAGTATGAATGCTTTTCCATCTGAGGATATTTCGCGGTCAGTCTCAAACACCACAAACTCACACCCTTATTCAGATTATGGAACTAATCACTGAATAATGAAAGCTGACATTCCCAAACTCCATGATACAACATTTTATTAGCTATGACTATCATCACCTATATTTAGAAAACTAACAATATTTACACTTGGTGGCTTGAATGTCCGCTGGACCTTTTCCTCGGGGGAGAAATAACTCCCTGGACAAAACCTCCACAGTTAAAGTGTATGATAGAACAAATCCCCATTTTTTCTTGGTGCTTTTCAAAGTTAGGTTAAGTTAGGTATGGTCTGACTAAGTTTTTATCCTAGAAGGATTTTGTTCTTTTGATTTCTTGCCTGAAGGAAATTTTCCTACACTTGGCAAGTGGATATGCTAGCTGCGACAGTCGGTTTTGGTAGACTTAATATTTTAGGGTTTTTTCTTGCTCATAAGAGACTTACTACTATACAATATTATTTAATGATCTTAATGCATCAAGCTTATGTGAATTCGTTAAGATAGGGTTACATGAAACAATTACATTGCAATATCTTTTATTTTGTACAATAATTATAAACATCTTTGCTCTGAAGACACAAACATACAGATTAACACAATCCAATAACAGCAAAGAGGTGCACATGTTTAAAACTTATCCCTGGTTTACATAGACTACATTACAAATATAATAACCCTTTCTAAACATATAAGCTGTGATCCTGGACCATTTGTGATGTCACGCACCACCAACATGAGGGGACATAACTACAAACTCGCCAAGCTATCATGCAGAACGAGCATAAGGAAATACTTTTTTTTGACAGAGACGCTGGTAGACATATGGAACGGTCAACCAGCACAAGCTGTGGAATAAAGAACAGTATTCTGCTCAAAATAGCCCTTGACAAAATTATCAAGAACAATGGAGGGCTCCTACACAGGTCAATGGAGTCCTTCGCTTGGCCATTAGCCTAGGTAAATAAGGTATAAATCTAACTCCAAAACAGAGGCGGACAGTGTCACGGTGGCGTCTTGTACAAAACTAAAGTAGTTCTGTAATGACCTGATCTAATTTTACCGGTATTGTATAAGTAAAACCGCTGAGCCTAGGATCAGGAGTCTTGCAGTAGGTAGTAGGTATTAGGCAGCTACCAAACAGGGAGGTACTACCGCCGGGGAAGATATTGGAAGCATAATGTGTTGTCTAATGGTAGACTCTGCTGCCATATGGCATCACGAAAATTGTGACCAAGTCCCAGGTTGCTGATCTGACTTTCTGCCTCATTTACACACAATTGCAGGGTCTCAATTGTTCCTCTTACTATTGACAACACAACATACATATATTGTTCCTCACTTTTGATTTTTTTCATTTTGTATTTATTTGTGGTTCTTTATTATTATTATTATTATTATTATTATTATTATTATTATTATTATTATTATTATTATTATTATTATTATTATTATTATTATTATTATTAATTATTATTAATATTATTATTATTATTATTATTATTATTATTATTATTATTATTATTATTATTATTATTATTATTATTATTACATTTTCGCCCCCAGGCCCCGATGTGGGTCAGTAACCTGTGTCTGGGTGGGCTAATCTCTTGTCTACCCAAAAATTGCACCTGCTTGTTGCACCCTGACCTCAACCTCACCTCACTGCACCCTCACCTCACTGCACCTGCTTGTCTACCCACACCTCACTGCACCTGCTTGTCTACCCGGACCACACATACTGCACCTGCTTCAACTGCTCGATCAATGGTGAATAGGATAAAAGTTGTTTGATTTTGAAAAATGACCGCGTTAATGTCCTGATCCAACCAAACACATTATTATTATTATTATTATTATTATTATTATTATTATTATTATTATTATTATTATTATTATTATTATTATTATTATTATTATTCTACGGATTATGCTATTTATCTATATTTGCCTTGTTAGATATTACAGGGTATCCATATGTTATCTGAACCAATTTGACACTTAAAATGGCCCAAAATATAATATTATAGATATAATTACGCCGGTTTAACTATACTCATAAGTTTTCTCTTTTCTTAGTGTATATCCATATATGCACCCTGTTCTGGCTATGATAATTTCGGGGTTATCAAATGGGTGAAATAATTTATGGACACATTGTATACGGGTCCTTTGGGCGTCGAATAAATGGATCCATTGTGGGTTCGTTAATTTATGGTCGACTGACGTTTGGCTACAGAGATCAGTTCCAAGTAACAGCCCCTATGATATTTTCTGAACATCTATTGAGTTTTACAGTCAGTTAGATAATTTGTAGACATCGAATTATCCGGTTTAGAGGTTCGAGGATTTGAGGGTTCGTGTTATGAGGGTTCGTGTTATGAGGGTTCGTTATGGGGGTTCGTTATTAGGGTTCACTATGAGTTTGGCGCCAAAAGTTGAGAGGCGGCGGCGACCAACAACAAAGATCGGCTCCAGGTGGCTGTTTCTTCCATAAATTCCTCTAAACCTTTCCATTAATCACATAAAATGGCGACTAAAGCACGTGACTATGAACAGGAAAAGGGTAAGTTAAGCTTTGTAATTTTAGTAATGTCAGATTTACAAGTTTATTTAGAATATATGGTTAAAGTTTCGTCGTGTGATTTTTTACCGTCATGATGCTTAGAACTGTTTGGTAAAGTTTGGTTGTGATGATTAGTTCAAATGTTACTAATATTGTTATGAGTATTGTCTTGTTACTATGATATGAGCAGCAGGTTTTTCTAGGCCTCGTGTGGGGTCTGACTAATTACCCAAATGTACCCAAATGTAGCCGGAATGAAGTCAAATAATGGTCCTACATGAATAAATCGGACTGCTAATCACTTCTCGACTAGTATTTGGTGTCATAAAGTCACAAATTATTGGTAAACTTAATTTAATCTGAGTTAATAGATCAAGTGCATGTACCTAACCTAATCTAACCTAACACAACACAACTCAGATTAAATTAAGTTTACCAATTTTTTTTTACTTTATGACACCAAATAATAATCGAGAAGTGATTCACAGCCCGAATTACGCTTGTACGACCATCATTTGACTTCATTGCGGCTACATTTGGGTAATTCCTCACTCCGTCGGTACATGCACGCGATCTATTAACTCAGATTAAAGTAAGTTTTCCAATTTTTTGTGACTTTCTGACACCAAATACTAGTCGAGAAGTGATTAGCAGTCCGATTATTTGACTTCATTGCGGCTATATTTGGCTACATTTGGGTACATTTGGGTAATTAGTCGGACCGCTCGTGTGAGGTGTAGGGACGGATTAGCAATGACTGTGGGGGGGGGGGGCTGGTGGTGCCTCGACTGGTGTTATCCCACTTGGACGATCGTCTATTTTTAAGCGATTTTTACCATCGCAGTTAAATGATCAGGTTAGGTTAAATCGCATAAAACGGACGGTCCTCCAAGTGGGATGTATATGAAACATTACACAGTTGTCAGCACCCCTGCTGTTGAATGACTGATTTGAATAATTTGGTAGCGCGATGTATTGTTATTTCATAAACTTAGAATTTCTGATGTTATGCTTAGTAAATACTTAGTGGATATGGGTACTGCAGCCGTATGCCAAAAATCACACTAGATATAGGTACGGCAGCTGCATTGAAGGTCTGTGTTAATGGTTAGGTTAGAAATGTCATCTTAGTAACTAACTTCGTATAGTCTGTCCACCATGCGTGCACATTAGGTGCCGTACCAAAAAACATCATTTCACATACAGCTGCTGTACTTGTGCCTTATGTGAGTGGTGCTTCCTCTCCTATGTATCTACCTTGGATGAGGCTAAGTGTCTACCCTCAGTCTATAGGTCATCTTCGGGTCACAGGGCTATGTGGCCCCTCAGATGATGTTTGGTTGATTATATGTCAACTTAGACAATTCCCAGATGGATGGGTGATGGCATAACCTAACCTAACCAACCTAATTGTGTAGTGGGATGGCAGAAATTGCAATAAACAGGCTGTTAGCCAGGTGAGAATCATGTGTGTGAGGTGATGCTCTTTGATGGGTAGGGAGTGTAGTTTCCTCCTGGGCAATGAAGGTCGTAGTAAAAGAACAGAACTCAAATGTCTAATAAACTGACAAATAGTGAAAATATAAATGCCCTCTGTGTGTGGGTGATGAATAAATGTTTGTAGTTCAGAGGTCGACACTTACTGAAACTTAATCAGCATATAATTTAGGTACTGTTTTGGGTAAGATTATCGTTTTGGTCATGCACCTATTTGGAAGTTGTTCAAAATACATGGGAAAACCATAATTTCAACCTAACCTAAACTTAAAATCCTAAAATTCGTTGCATGACTGAACCGATAATAATACCCTGTATTGGAAGTGCAGATGTTAAGGCATATGTTCAAGATTTAAATTATTGCTTCAGGATATTTTCAGACTGACACCAGAGTTGTTATGATTTGATTCTACTTAAATCAGAGTGACTAACAAATTTACGTCATTTGTCTCACATATTCATCATCTTCACAGACAAGTTTGATCAGATTTATTTGACGTTTCTATGACTAATTATGTCCTTGATTAATTGAGATATTGGTAGGCTGTAATCAAGTGTTATAATTTATCAGTTTTATGTCGTTACATGGATACCTCTTTCTTAAGAATATATGGTATGATACCTAAATTTTCTTTCATATAAGCCTCAGTAAGCCTAGCTGGAGATAATAAACCGGGTAATATTTTCATATACTGTATAGTACCGGTAAATGTTGAAAAAAAATGTACTGAAAGATCCTTTTTATATTGAAAGTGCTTGTTAAACAATTTACTCCTCAATGTCACCATACCTAATACTGTAGGTTAATTTTTGTCCAATTTATATTATCAACCTCTGGCTGCTGTACTTTTCAATAAACTGTTAATTAATATTATTTACACACACACACACTCATTCACTCACTAATATATTACATTTACAATACAGTAGAATCTTTTATCCATTAACCATTTTCTATCCACAGAAGCTATCAAGAGGTTCCTGGCAGAATTTCACGATGTCGGTGACGATGGTCGAAAACACTTCAAGTATGCCACCCAACTTGTCGACCTTGCACACCGAGAACAAGTGAGCCTGATCATTGAGATTGATGATGTGGGTAAGTACAGACTAACAGACCTTAGAGCTCACCTGAAGATTAGTCACCCCCAACTTATTTCACCTGATGATTAATTTTCCTAATGCTACCTGGGGGATTAATCTTGAGGTGAAATAAATTTGGGAAGGGGGTGGCTAATCCTAAGGCTCAAAATTGTTTTGTTCTTAGCTTCACATTTAACACAACAAGATTCCTCATGGTCAGTGTATACTTTACCATTTATATCCAGCCCCTGTGATTTTCTATAATAGTACTTTGTGTTGTTGGGAGTGTAAATGTATACCGGTATATGAAAATTGGGAAACCCTGTTTATTCCACCTGATAATTAAACATCCTAGTGCTAAATGTGGGAGTTAGGTTTGGTTAGGTTAGCATTAAAGTGTTCAATCATACGGTTGAAATAAACAGGGATTCCTAATTTTCATGGGATACTTGTACAGTACATTTACATCTGACATAAAAATTAATTAGCTGTTATCTCCTCACAACTCATGAATTTTCAAGGAAATCTATACGTTACGTTACTCTTATTACCACATTTAGATGAGATTTGGTGGAATAATTAAAAAGTTCATTATGATTAAGGTTGTTAAATACTCTTAATCTTTCAGCTGAGTTTGATCCCGACATGGCAGAAGCGATGGTCCAGAACAGCCGTCGATACATTAACCTCTTCTCTGATGCTATTTATGAACTTCTGCCTGATTACAAACAAAAGGAGGTACAGTATAGTAAATGCTACCTTAGCAGTTATTAAATCTTTACCATTAACCATTTCTGGTCACCATACTACAGAATGGATATCACATCCCTAGAGAACATTCAGAGGAGGATGACTAAGCAATCCCAGGCATTAAGAACCTTGAGTATGTTAACATTAAAATGTCTGGGTTTGCACTCCCTTGAGAGATGTGGAGTGAGAGGCGATATGATCAAAGTGTATAAATGGAAGTCAGGGTTAAACACAGATACTTAAACTATTTAACCAGGAGTGAACATATAGCAATTTTTTTAAATTAAGACAAATTTAGAATTAGGTGTGAGATAGGAAAACACTGGTTTGCAAATAATATTGTGGATGAGTGGAACAAATTACCAAACACCACCATTAATGCAAGCTCACTGGAAAGCTTGACATATAGTTTGGACAGATATATTGTGTAAGTGATAGGGGTTGGGTATAAATGGGGCTGCTTAGTATGGGCCAATATTCCTGCTACAGTTTCCTTTATTGGTATGTTCTTATGTTGTGTATGGTGCTGCCTTTTAGTTGAATAAAATTGTCTGGCTTTGGCCCCCCAAAAATATATGTACAGTATATTAAAATAGGTGTCCCCATAGTTATGGGATTAATCCCCTCGTTGGTGATAATGTCCACATAATTACATTTTTCTTGTCACTAATGAAACCTAACGTTGTACAATACATGTATATTGTTTTTAGAATTCTTATATGTAATTTTACTATATGACTCTTAGATAGGACCCCAATGTGTAGCTCAGATACAGGACCCCATAGACTCCTCACCTCACAACTTGGCCAAAAGATGAAGTTTAGCAAAATGGCAAGGGATAGAGGCAGCTGCTGCCTTCCCTCTAACCAGGATATCCATGTTGTCCTCCCAGAATAATACTTTAAATTATATTCTAAAAGTCCTGAGCCTTAGGAAGAAAACATTTCAGAAATTAGGGGAGATTCTTTCAGTGATAAAGAAGCAAAAGTAGCAGTGACAATATAGGTGGCAGCAACCAGCCTTTACATAGTTTGTGGTGTGACTGGGAGGAGTGGGAGACATGCCTCAACTTTGTACAGTACTCACCATTGAGTGACTGGAAATTAACTTGCAGGGAGAAGTACAGTATTTTTGGGAAGTACTGTATTTGCCTTTGATGAAGTATATTTTATTTTTTTACTAAAAATATTTTTTAAAGTCCACTCTTAGGGTCAGCTCCCTTAAAAAAAAAAGTTTTGAAGGGGTTAATTTACAAAAAAAAAATCAAAATTAGGAGGATTTGTTAATCATTTATTACCATACAAATTATTTTTAAGTACAGTACTTATGTTACTTTGTTCCTTAAAGACTGTGGCACGTGATGCTCTGGATGTGTACATTGAGCATCGTCTTATGATGGAGCAGAGGCTGCGCCAGCCTGGCGACACTCGTGAGCTCCATAACAGATATCCACCAGAACTCATGAGGAGATTGTAAGTCTCCCCTTAAATATTGAAGCATAACACCAGTCCTTCTCTCAATAGTCTTTATGTGGCATTACCTGTACCTAAAATAATATTGAGTTCCCATAGAGATGTAGCCTAAGGTAATCCCTGTGAAAAGAAACAATGTAAAATGAAAGTTTCTCCATTTCAAAATTGCTTTTTCCTTTAATTTCATAGTTGTAGATCCTAAGACAGCTTTCACATCCTAAAATTTTATTCTGTTAATGTTTATGATTCCAGTGAGGTATACTTCAAGACTCCAAGTACCCAGAAGCATTTGTCTGTTCGCAATGTTAAAGCTGAACACGTTGGGAAGCTGGTGATGGTGCGCGGTATTGTAACACGATGTACAGAAGTGAAGCCTGTGTTGCAGGTGGCCACATACACCTGTGATCAGTGCGGTGCTGAGACCTATCAACCTGTAAGTGTTTAATCAATTAATACTGTATATGATTGTGTAAGTAGACCCCAGAATTTTGAGAAGTTTGGTTTGTTAGAAAAATCTTTGCCATTTCATGAACCAATACCTAATATATTTTTGCTGTTGTTGCTGCCTGCTGAAAGAAAGTGAAAATGTGCATAAATTACCACAATCTCGTCGGTCTTTTCCTCCCACCTGTATGCTATATTGTTATTAAATCATTTCCATATATATATATTCCCCAATGAGGTCTTCTTTCACCTATCATGATTACTGCCATCTCATTAAATTTTCCTCTAAACAGTATACAAATTTTTCCTTTTATAAGTTACTTTATAATTTAATTTTTCATTCACTTTGTACCCATAATTTATTGTTTTGAAACAGATTCTGTCGACCAGCTTCATGCCCCAGTTATTGTGTCCAAGTGAAGATTGTCGTGTAAACAAGTCTGGTGGTCGGCTGTACTTGCAGACAAGAGGATCTAAGTTCGTTAAGTTCCAGGAAATAAAGATTCAGGAGCATTCAGACCAGGTAAGACGTTACCCCAGATCACATAAAGATTTGACATCCCAAGGTATACTTAAACTGATTGAACACTCTAATGCTAACCTAACCCCCTCCCCCAGGCAGTGTTAGGGTGTTGAAACATCATGTGATCTCTTACCCTGTGTCATTCCATCCATCTTGATCAGTATTATCGTTATTAATTCTTAATTATAATTATTTTTGCTAATATAATTTGATGACTGACTCAGATCATTGCAAGAGAATGAGTGCAGTTGGTTCTATGTGCTGGGGGTGCTGGGACTCACATAAGCTTGAGCTTCAGTTCAGCACAAATCTTGAGGCGAGTGTTAAAAGGAGGAGGCAAAGTAAAGAACTATACAAGTGAGCACATTAAATCATGGCTCTGATACCATAAAGCACAGACAGTACTTACAAAACACTAAACCTGCTTAACTTTTGGAGGTCATAGGTCAATGGGACAAAAAGTTCCATTATTTGACCTATGTGTATCTTGAGAACATGAATAGACATTGACTAGAAGTATATAGTAGGCATTCTTCCCAAATTCTTAAACTTGTTAGCATTTAGAAATGCATAACTGTAAATGGATTATGTGGGAGGGTGATGAGTACGTGTAAGAATGGTGTCACCGATGATTTTCAAGTTGAGTTATGGTGTTTTGTCTTAATTCATGCAACTGAGTAAACTTTGACCTTTTCTTTTATGTGCTATGAGTATCATCCCATTGAACTAGCAGTTACTGTCCTTTTTAAATTATTTTTGTTATAAATTTGTAATTATCCTTTAAATCTTTTTCAGGTTCCTATTGGTAATATCCCACGCTCCTTAACTGTCATGTGTCGTGGAGAACAGACGAGGCTTTGTCAACCTGGTGATCATGTTGCTATCGCTGGTGTGTTCATGCCTCTGTTACGCCAAGGTTTCCGTGCCATGATGCAGGGACTTCTCTCCGACACTTTCCTGGAGGCTCATGTAGGTGTTATCAATACTGTAGTGACATTTCAGTGTGGAAGGAAGCTTGAAGTTGTGGAAAACCAAAATACATACAGTACTTTAACTAAAATTCACTTGAGATTTTCATATCAAGCTCAGTAGTGTGATAATTACTTGCTTGTTTATTTTGTATCATAATATAGTGTCTCATAGATGCTACACCAGAGAATATTAATGCTCCTCTCTCTTTCTCTTATTTTTTCCTTTCTTTTTTCTTTTCATTTGAAGGAATCTTTGTAAACAAGATGTCAGAATATTCAGTTGCCCGCTGCACTTCTCTCATGTTTTGATTTTATCTGGCTCTCCATTCGTGTACTGTGAACCAAATGTTACACACCGATCACTAGAATTTAATTGACTACACCCATATGCCTGATGTCGATTAACTGCTTTTGATCTGTGTATAGCATCTGCCTCTCCTTACATGAATCTTAAATTGACTTTTTCCTTTAGTGTTAATTTCTATTCAATTTTGGTTTAATTGTTAAAGATTCCATCACCTGAAAAAGGAAAAGAAAAAGAAAAAGAGAAGAATAATTTTCCTGTAGTGAGAGACCTATGGGACACCCTGTACATGTGTGCATGACCTATGGTACACCCTATACATGTGTGCAATGCCTATGGGACACCCTGTACATGTCACGACACATTCCTTTCTTTCAGCGGGTTGTTAAAATGAACAAAACAGAAGATGATGAGCTGGGAGCAGAAGAATTAACTGAAGCAGAAATAAAATTAATTGCTGAAGAAGATTTTTATGATAAACTGGCAACCTCCATTGCACCTGAAATCTACGGTCATGAGGATGTTAAGAAAGCTCTTTTGCTTCTGCTCGTCAGTGGCGTAGATTGTAACCCCAACGGCATGAAAATTCGTGGTACCATCAACATCTGCTTAATGGGTGACCCCGGTGTGGCCAAGTCCCAGCTCCTCTCATATATTGACCGCCTTGCCCCACGCAGCCAGTACACCACTGGTCGAGGTTCCACAGGAGTCGGTCTGACTGCAGCAGTGATGAAGGATCCACTAACAGGAGAGATGACACTTGAAGGAGGAGCTCTGGTATTGGCTGACCAGGGCATCTGCTGCATTGATGAGTTTGATAAAATGGCTGATGCTGACCGTACTGCTATCCATGAAGTGATGGAACAACAGACTATTTCAATTGCTAAGGTATTTAGCTTCACAACTTGAGACTATTCAGGTAATGAAATTGCCCTTAGTGTGAACAAAATCTCCCACCCCTCACTTTTATATACTGGTATACAGTACTGTACTGTATATACCTGTCCTGTGGAGTGCGAAATTTAAAATTATACAGACTATATTTTTTCCAGGCTGGTATCATGACAAGTCTCAATGCTCGTGTTAGCATCCTCGCTGCGGCCAACCCTGCGTATGGTCGTTATAATCCCAAGAAGACTGTTGAGCAGAACATTCAGTTGCCCGCTGCACTTCTCTCACGTTTTGATATTCTCTGGCTTATTCAAGACAAACCTGATCGAGAGAATGATTTAAGGTAAGACTAGTATGTGAGGTACATTGTGTCACCAAGAACAGTATGAGGTGACGTATTCACCATAATGTGTCCCCGAGAATTGGTTGGCTTTATATTTACTTTATTGACTTTTTGTGCAATGTTTTAATTGGTAGATGAAAATTTGTAATCTGCTCAAGTGTTTTTGCCTGTGTGGGCTTTTTTTATTATTATTATTATTATTATTATTATTATTATTATTCAGAAAGAATTGATAATTGGAAATACATGCACAGGGTATTGTACTTGATTCAACAGGCAGGAAATATGTGAAGGGTGAAGAGAAGATAAATTAAATCAAAGACTGTTGATGGACAGAAGTCTCTAGGTACAGGGTATTGACTGTCAGTAAGAAATACTTGGGAGAGTATTAATTGGTGCTCATAGCCCTTATAAGGCCTTTGGACCTTGTGGAAGGGAACATCTTAACTGAACACTTCTGTTACTGTAAGAGTAAATGAATGACAGCAAATGAGGGAAGTGAGTGTATGTTTGCACTGAGGTAACTTGGAGGAAGAGTAAACTGTATATGCAAATTAACTGTTACGAGTTGTTTGTTAGCAGGGATAAGAATGTTGGATAAATGAAACTTGATATTTTTCAGACTGGCTCAACATATCACGTACGTTCACCAACATAGTGCCCAGCCACCCACACAGTTCAAGCCACTGGACATGAAACTGATGAGGCGTTACATTGCTCTTTGTAAGAAGAAGGTAATGAAACTGTATTTGACACTGGAGGTTATTGTCTTTGGTATTTCTTGAAGTTATATTTCATAACTGGACCTCAGGGCATAATATGTGACCAGTGTAAATTTTTGGCATAGATTAACAGGGTAAGAGGATTCACATGAGGAGTTACATGGGTCTAGACCAGTGGTTCCCAACCTTTTTTGGCTGCGACCCTAAATTTCCCAACATTACGGTGTCGTGATCCCTTAGGCATATACAGTTCACCCTCGTTAATTCGGACCCCTTTAATCCGGATTTCGGATAATTCGGACAAAATCTGGACTTTTTTTTTTTTTGTAGGAATATTACCTATGCGGACCTTAAGCTGAAATGCTGGTCCAGCCACTGCTGGGATAAAACACCAGCTTCTTTTTGGTTAAATGTAACATCTCCACCACTAGTGTGGGGGGGGATGCAACTTTTAGCTTCAGACATGAAAAATATTTACCATTTACTGCCAGTAAACAATGTAAACGTAAAATATGTACCAATTAGTAATGAAAAGTTGTGCAGTTCCTTCAGCAAATGAAGCTCACCAACTTACAATAGGTTAAATTACCTTACAACGTGTTTTCAGTAGTCTATGTTGAAGTTCTTAGCACAGGCTAACTTATCATATCATATACGGTATCACAGTTCTCATTGATCTACAAAAAATACCGGTAATAAAAACCTTTTCGATATTTCACACTTAATATAATACCCGGTAATCTACTTCAACCTCCTATTGTTTCCAACGAAACATGACGCACCACCAGCTGTTGAGTATCAGCTAGACGGTACACGTGTTTTTCGAATCGTTTTCAGTTAAAAAACTGTTACATCACACGTATATTTTACCTAAACTGCACCTAAATGAGTATATTCTCGGAAATAAATAGTAGTTTTGCTGAAACGTGATGTATTTCAATGTAAAATAGGATAAAATACATGACGAAAACAAAAGATTTTACCTAACCTTCCGATGTTCAAGAGAAGTTACTCGTTTTTTTAATAGTTTTTGGTTAAAATACTGTTATATTACAATGGTATTCTATTCATACTGTGCTTGATATAATGCATTCACGGAAATGTAATATATTTGCTGAAATGACGTACGTATTACAGTGGAAAGTGGGATAAAATCGTGACGAAAACAATGACTCGCTTTCTTTTGTTCAAAAGATGTTACCGTAATCGCTTTTCGATTGGTTTTCAGTTAAAAAACTGTTGTATTACAATAATATTTTATCCTAATTGACTTGAATAAATACTACGAAATACCATATTTCTGAATATTTTCATTAAAATCCAACCAAATCATTTCCCTTGTCATTGTCTGCAGCACCAAACAGCTTATCCCAGTCCTCTCCTTGAACAGGGCTAGAGGGTACGCGTTTTTCGAATCGTTTTCAGTTAAAAAACTGTTACATCACACGTATATTTTACCTAAACTGCGCCTGAATGAATATATTCTCGGAAATAAATAGTAGTTTTGCTGAAATGTGATGTATTTTAATGTAAAATAGGATAAAATACATGACGAAAACAAAAGATTTTACCTAACCTTCCGATGTTCAAGAGAAGTTACTCGTTTTTTTAATAGTTTTCGGTTAAAATACTGTTATATTACAATGATATTCTATTCATACTGTGCTTGATATAATACATTCACGGAAATGTAATATTTTTGCTGAAATTACGTACATATTACAGTGGAAAGTGGGATAAAATCGTGACGAAAACAATGACTTAGAAATATAATGCAATATTAACCCCTAAATCGGTTAATTCGGACAATCGGGTAAAACGGACACCCTTCCTCCCCTATTAGTCCGAATTAACGAGGGTCGACTGTACTGTATATTGTACAGCTTGAATGTTAAGCAAAAATTTGTTTGACTATGATAAGTACTCATTTTTTAAATTGTCTTAAGGCCCCTCACGACCCTACTGAGGACACCCCGCGACCCTGATTTGGGTCGCGACCTGAGGTTGGGAACCGCTGGTCTAGACTAATGTGTATTTACTCTCTCTCTCTCCCTCTCTTGTCTTCTTCATGCTACAACCTGTGATTTAGAGAGGATGTCAAACAGTCTTACATAATGCTTCAAGATTATTTATTAGTAGAATAGCTTTTAATGTGACGTTTATTTCAGCTACCAACCATCCCTGAAAATCTCACCGACTACATTGTATCGGCTTATGTAGAGATGCGTAAAGAAGCTCGCAACAGTAAGGACATGACCTTCACCTCAGCACGTACTCTTCTTGCTGTCTTGCGTCTCTCCACGGCATTAGCGCGACTCAGGCTCGTTGATTCAGTACGTGCATTTTATTATGAAAGAGCAGATGTGGAAAATGGCCATAAAATGTGAATTATGATTAGTGATAGTTGATGATAATTGTACACTCACATCTGAACATCATGTGGGCTAATACCCAGATGTGAAAAAAGTTTAACCGCTCTATTTTGAATTTTAATGGCAGATGGAGTTGGCTTACATTTATTGTTCTAGAGTATTTTGGGGGATGAGAAAGTTACTTTTTTATGTACAGTATTTAAGACAAGTAAAGGTAAAGACCCACATTTATTAAAAGACGAACATTACAGGTAGAGAAAGAGGATGTTAACGAGGCGATGCGGCTGATGGAGATGAGCAAAGATTCCCTCAACCACAGTGATGAGAGAACTGGAAAGTGAGTGAACCAGTAATTTGTGCTAATTATTGTACGGTAACACAATATTTCTCCTTTCATTCTTTTATACTGCAGTACAGGATATGTTCTATGGAACTCCTATTCTCAACAAGCCTCCTGTCACTTTTTATTTTTAATTAATCAGGAGTCTCATGAAGATAAGGAACCCCCTCTTATTGCACCAAGTGATTACACATTCTAATACTAACCTGCCCCCTCCCCCTCCATTTAGTGTGTCGGTGTTTAATAGTGAGATGAAGCGGAGGTTCGTAGTCCTCATCAGATCCTAAATCATTAATGACCGGGGTTTCAACCTTTGTCTCCCCTCTATAATTTGACCTCATCTCCTCAACAGGGCTCAGACTGTTACCGACAAGATCTTCACCCTCATTCGGGAAGTTGCCGGAGAGAGTCGCGTGGTGAAGCTTGGAGATGTGATTGAGCGATGCACCAGCAAGGGTTACAAGCCAGACCAGGTTAGTGATCATGATAATTTTTTAATTTTTTTATTAATATATGATTACCAATATTGATAAGTATTCCTGGGAGAGAATTGCTCATATCATATCCTTTTAGTTGAATTGTGTACCAATGATTTAAATTCAGATTGTAAAAAGACAAGTACAGTATTATTACAAGTTGGGCATATAGAAGGACAGGTTTGAAGTAAAGAGGGGAGAAATTATCAATACTAAACAATAAATTTTTGGATAATTTTGTTAAAACTAATAAGTTACCATAGTTAAGAAAGTTGTTAAGTACTGTAATAATGAAATGGTTATATTTTCATTTGGACAGTACAACTACTCTGTTATTTGTATTTTGTTTTGTACTAGACAGGATCTTATTTTTGTCTTGTGTAACTTAAAAATAATTTTCATAGTAACTGTACTGTATTTTACATCCATTTCCCACTGCCAGACTTAAAATAATTTGTTTCACTAGTTTTAATATATTTTACACCAGTTGTAATATGTCTGCCAACAGTTTTAATACATTATACTGGACACCAGTGAGCTATTACAAAAACTCTTAAAACTCATTCGCTCGGCTCTTATCATAACACTTAGATATACCAACGGGTACCTTTACGTGATCCAAATATATGCATCAGACTTTTAATATTGAACAGTTATAGAGATGGGAGACCTTTATATCTTAATATTTTAAGTTGTTCAGTGTATTTTCTTTCTTCTCAGGTGAATGAGTGTATTGAAGAATATGAAGAGTTGAATGTGTGGCAGTTGAACCAAGCTCGCACCAAACTTACATTTGTGTGAAGGTAACATTGTTGTACTACTGTACTTCTCTAACCCTACAGTATACAGTATGTAGTAATAACCAAACTGGATACAAAAAAAAAGGTCCAATACATGTGCCTCTGTTCTTTATTTCATATTTCAAACCAATGAATGTAACAAAACTATATTTTGTAAGTGTTTCTCAAAATGATATACAGTACTATATAATAAATGGTAAATTTTTCATTGTGTATAATATGTAAGAGATATAATAAAATTTATACATTTTTATTTTATATTTATTACACATTTTTTTGAGTACTTGTAGGTCTATGTACAGTATTCACTTCCATCCTGATATGAGAGGGTCAGGTTGATGTCCATCTCTTATAAATTTCTGTCCATTTGGCTCTACAATGGATGTTCACTCACACCAAAAAGTATCATTATGGAGGCTCTGATGAGTTTCAAAACGAATGCCACAACTCGTTGCCTCAGTAGGGTTGTCAAAATCGTTCATCTGTTGTGTCTGTCTTACACCAAACTGTAAAGATCCTTCTTTTAAGCGAGTGTCCATTGGGGAAGAAGTCTATTGATTTTGGGGATTATATTGTATTATCTTGTGACAGACCTGGGAAATTTTGTTTTTATGCACTTAAGCTTCAACAAAACTTAGTTATACACTTACAGTTTACTTGAGATCAAGGAGGAAACAGGTATTGGGCCTTAGTGGGATAATCCATCATTGCCCTGTTTGCACTGCAGTTGTTTTTATTTTTACCAGATGATGTAAGTGCTTCAAAGAAGGAAATATGGGGTAAATAATCTGGCCCATTTTACAACTTGATAACCTCACAAACATTATAGATAGAGCTCTTAAGTACACTTCTTGTCTTAGAACATGACCACATGTGCATTGTTATATCTATAATACTTTTGGGGTTAAGTTTTAAAATAGGTCAGACAATTTGTGGACTCCCTGTATATTTAATCAGAAACTAAAGTGATGGTATGCAAGTTGTAAGTGTTCCACAGGTGGCCATTTTGTTCTTACAAGTAAAAATTTATATGAAAATGTGGCATTTCCCAGACTTGACAATGAACAAATCAAAACCCTAAATGTGTAAATTACTGCCGTTAAAAAAACCCAGCTTCAACAGTGTACAGTACTGTAAAGAGTAAAAAATAGTATTAGTTGAGAAGAGAAAGAAATACTGTATTTCGTAATCTGGAGCTGGCATTAATCCCTTTGCGTATGAGTTAACCTCTTGCATTAGCCAAATAAAATATCACAAGTGGCGTTCATGCAGTGAAGGGATTAATCAATAAGAGTGCAAAAGTAAAAGTTTGCATCTTTGATTTCAATACAAGAAAAGTATATGCCATAGTTGACAAAATATTGATGCAAGAAATAAATGAGATTGTTCAAAGCTATCTGAAGTTTTGAGTGAAGCATATGCTATTTTATAACAGGAAGAGTGGAACAAGTTCTTGGTATAATAGATAACTAACCAGAGAAGAGAACTAAGAAAAATATTTGAAAACTATGGCATAAGAAGTATTTTTAGCATCTGAGTTTGTTTCATCGAATGGCATTATGAATTCAATCAGATTAGCTTTTGGGAAAAAAACAATGCGAGAACTACGGTACAGTAAATGGGAAGACGAGCTTGTTGGAAGAGGTCCCGGTAAGGATCTGTAGGGGAATTATGCAGGCAGTCCTGTAAGGGTGTAGAGCAGGGGTCCACAACCCTCATATGCATGCAGCCAGAAAATTTATATTCGTTGCTGTTATGACGGCATCCAAAATATGTGATGAGGCACAAATTTGTCAATTTTTCTAGAGCATCTCGCGAAGACAAAACATACAGTTTCCACCTAATTGGCTTGCGTTTCCGCCTAATTGTCTTGCGCTAATATCTTCACAAATTAAGAATGTATTAATCCTTAATTGGCAACTAAGGATTCCTCAAAAGCACAATAAATGAAAAACATTGAACATGAAACATCCCTTATCGTTGGCTGCTGTTCCCATCACTAATGGCTGCCATTTTAGGGATAATGATGATAAATGAAGGAGAAAATGTGTTTAAGGTTTCACTTGCTCATGAAATACACTGAGCTCATTCATACTAACACTTACCAAAAGTGCATTGACCTTGCTACAATTTTTCTTTTATGCCCAGTAAATTAAAGTTGGGAAAAAAAAAAGTCAGAGGACTACATAAACACAAATCTAAATTATATCACACACAGACAGTACTCATGGTGTGAAGCTGCCTCTTGGTTTATTTTAAACTGAAGAGCTTTTCTAAAGTTTGAAAGAAAGCCCTATATCCCAGGGATGGATGAAGAGCCAAGGATAACACTATATGCTCTTGCCATTTTCTACAGCAGGATTTATTTAGTTTTTCCCCTTTCCATTCTATCAATCCATATGTCATTTATGTTAATTAAAGACTAGATAAATTAGAATTGTGGGGATATCAGAAATCATTTAATGTGGGTCAAGGAAATACATTCTACAAACTAATCAACAAAAGTGCATCATCTTAGCACTGTACACAACTATAGGATAATAAGAAATGTGCTGTGTAAAGTAAACTTTACTTGTCTCTCAGATAACTACTTTATACTTTTTTTTGCCACATGCCACAAATATTATCCCCTCCAGCAGTAAAATAATGTTGGGAGTTATTTCTTCTACTGCTCCCAGGTGAACTATTGTATCATTGTGTAAGGGGTACAGTAATGATTTATGTGAGTGTAGAGTCTGTTAGATTTTGCCAGGTGGATTTTTTTTTGCAAGCTGTAAGGATCACTTATCACAGCAATCTTAATTACCAAGACATTTATTATTCAACTTTCAAGAAAATGGTTCTTGTATAACCCAACAGAAAGTGACCCTTGTTCTGGCTCTCATTCATCCTGTGGCTCGTATACCAACAACAAAAATACGACAAAGATCATGTGGCTGAAATTTATACCAGCCTGTGTATAACATGTATATGTATATCCATCCTCATATCTACTGTATACTACTGATCTTGCAAACACTTAGAAACTTCCCATTACTATATGGAAAACAATAATACACTACATTGTATATGAGGAAAATAAAGCCCAAATGTCTATAAAACTGCACAGGTTTTTGGCTCTTTTGGAAGGATGACAAATGAACAAAAAATAACTAATTACAAACTGGGCTTTTATTGTACTCTTCATACAAAAGGTCACAACAACAAAATGGTGTGGTGTAGAAAGACTTTACAATAAATAGTAAAGCTCAATTCATCTTCACTCAGGCCTCAAAAAAGTAATCTACATATCTACGTTTTAGAACAGCATCCAAAATCTAACTATTAGGCCCTTCCCATATTACATCCAATAGTATCACATAAAACACTTTACAATTTACAATGTACTGTTGTATTTAGAAAATTGTGACCTGTACAAAGAAGCTATTCTTCTTAATCATAATCAAAACTGGGATTTTTTCGTAAACTTTATATCTTGAATTTTAATATTTATTTCATGATAAATACATTATTGAGTTGTAAATGAATTAGCCTGACCATTTTAGGAGCCTATTATGACATGATGTACAAATAATAGCTATGAGGGTGAAGTACATCTACAACAATGATAGACGAACTATTTAAACCAAGAGATCATTTGCATGTAATGATCAAGACTCCTCAAGGACCTCCTAATGTCCACCAATCATACAAAAATGTTGTATATACAAGTATGCATGTGGAACATTCATTAGTTTTCAACTTAAGAATGTAATACCAAGATACTAAAACTATCAAATAAAATAAATTAGTCACTCAGAAGAGAAATAAATATCAATTACAAACCGAATTTCTTTTGATACTTTATAAGAGAAAAAAATTTACAGTATATACCATTTTCTTTGGCATTTATGAAAATACTCAAAAGGACCAACCACTGGCCTTTAAAATCATGAGACATTTTCCGGCAGGGGGGAAAAGAAAATTGGGATTGTCATTACCGGTATAAGTCACTTACACGTGCTCTATGAAACTTGCACCTCCATTCTCAAAGGACTGACTCTCCTACCTGTCAAACACCAAACAACTAAAACAAACAAAATCCTATAATACTTCAGGTCATCCTTATGATAGAAGAGAAGCTCATTCATCATCATCATCATCCTCCTCCTCTTCACTTTCACTCTCATCATCATCATCTTCCTCCTCATTGGGTACTGCTGTCTTGATTTTCTTAGCTCCAAAGTTCCCTTCTTTATAGGCCTTCATTTCCTGCAAAAACATTGTTACTTTCAGAATTTTGTGATTGTGGCTACAAGTTGTGAAATTTTCTTCTGTGCTCAAAAAACCTCTCAGAAATTCAGTACTGTTATGCATAAAGTGAAGAAAGTAACACAACACTAACCCTCTCATATCTGGCTTTGTCATTCTCTGCCATAACTTCATACTTGGATTTAACTTCAGGTGGTGTGTTGCTCCAGAGTCCACCAAGTTGCTTGGCAACTTCTCCAACACCCATATCAGGGTTGACTGCTCGCACTTTTGGTCTTTCATCATTGCAAAACCAAAAGAATGCTGACCTGTAAGAGAATATAAATGTTAATGATGTTCCACTACCTTAAAAGTTATTTGCTGGATTTCATAAGGATAAGGAACCCCAGTATATTTCACCTGATGATTAAACACCTTAATTCTAAATGGGGAATTGGGTTATGTTAGGTTAGCTTAATCAAGTGAAATAGGTAGTGATTCCTAACCTTCACGAGAGCTTAAATGGATACAAATGTAAGCTACGCCTTTTCCAATGAAATTCTTTAAAGTTTTATTCTGCATAATTATTCACAGTTATTCAATATTTCACATATATTGAGAGGGAGGAAAGCAAGAGTAATAGAGAGATGTAATGAGAGGCAATGCAAATAAACCTCCAGTAGTGAGAGATTCTGAAGTAAAGTTGCAAGTGTAATTGTAGAAGTTTGGTAAAGTGTGTACAGTAGCATAAGAGTCAATACTGTACAATATACAATGTGAGAAGTATAGGGCAATTCACTCACTGGTAGTCCTGGAGTATACCGCATATATCCGTGTGTTGTGTATTTACAGTAAAGTTTTTGATGTCATATTCTCAATTGTTTATCTCACATTTAATCTCATACAGTATATAACTTTTAGCAAAACTCTGGGGCTACCAGAAAGTTACTCACCCTATATGTGTATAGAGAAATGAAAAACTTTAATGTGTCCAGTACTGAATGTCAATAAAAGTAATTTACCAAATAATAGTTAGGATGGGAGCCATTATTACATTTGAAGCAGTTACAGAATAGAAGTAGTGAGGTGTTACAGATATTTGGGAGTGGATGTGTCAGCCAATGGGTCAGTGAAAAATTGAACATCAGTAGAAAGTAACAATGTACAGGTTTATGATCTAGACTTAAGGTTCATGAATACATATAGATAGCAAGACAAACTGTCATTTATCAACATGGACTTGTTATTGAAAATTCATCAACTCAAACTGCAATAAACTGGAATGTTTGATAATCTCAAGTTTTTAAGCAGACTACTTAACAGCACAGAGAAACACTTGAAACTGTTCATTAGTTCTATCTCTTAATCTTAACTCTCTTGCTCATGATGACGCAATTTGCGTCATATTCATAAGACAAACTTCATTGACAAAAACCGAGTCACCAAACTTAAAAAAAATTCGCCCATAGTTAAGTTTTCAACAGAATTGCGTCAAATTTTGATGTGTCATAGTAACAATATGTTCTGACAAATAAAGTAATTGGTAACTCTCAAGGCCCATAGGAAGGGAAGAAGGGGAAGATAAATGCACAGTATTATCTCAGCAGTCAGACCGTGAATGTGAACCGCAACCATTTAAATTTCCGTAACTCCATGTGGGCTGCCTAAACTCCCTGAAATAATTTCTATTTAGCATTAGAGAAGTGAAGTGATGGTTGTATAATGTAATTTCTTTCTTCATATTTACAGGGAAAGTGTTTAGTTTTCAAAAGCCGTTACCGTATCAGGCTATACAACCTTGTTATAGTGATAATGTCTCTAAAGTCTCTGAAAGAGGATGTTTTTCTTTAACTCCTGTTTTGGAACAGTGAGAATCAAGTGGATAGTGATAATAAAGAGCCTGGCCTGGTAGTGAAAATGATCGTGATAAAAAAAGAAAATTATGAATCTGAGGGAGAAACTGTCGGTTGCATCCACGTTATCACGCGCCTCGCCACCAGAGACTACCACCTCTGCAACACAACAACGTGCCGCTCTTCTTCACCACAACCTTCCACATCCCAAGCACCTCCTTCATATCGCCTGCATTATGCAAGCCTCATACCACCCACTCCCTCCCTTCCTCACCACATGCCTCCCACGGTCACCATCACCTCCTACACTCCACTTATCAGCAATGCTACATTGGAATCCCTCCTCTACTCCAAACTCACACACCCTCATCCACACGCCTATACTCACCTACTTCGCTCACTCTTACATTTTACTCATACTCATTCACTCACTTCCTCCCCAAAGTCCATCTACAAGTTCCAGAAGTCTTCCACCTCGCTGAAGGATGTGAGTACAGAATGATCTTATTTTATATTAGTACAGAATTAATTTATTTTATACTAATATATTTTCTGTTATTTTATATTGCATTTTATTGTTAGATATTGTGTTACTTTCTTTTACCAGATGACAATCATGTGATGTGGTTGAACGCTCATCCATCTGTATTGTATATGATCTCATTATCTTATTTTATATTATACTATTATAACATTTATGTTATTATGGTATACGGTGTTGTTATAATCTGTGCTTTTCTCGTACATTAGTCCCAGGTTGCTGATCTGACTTTCTGCCTCATGTACACACAATTGCAGGGTCTCAATTGTTTCTTTTACTTTGACAACGCAACATACAAACAAAACTTCTAACTACCTGTATTGATCCTTTTTTAATGTTTGTATTTATTTATGGCTCATTATAATTATCATCATCATCATTCTTATTTTATTATATCCCCCCCTCCCCGGCCCTGATGTGGGGTCATAAAATGACATGTGCCCGGTGGGCACCCCAAAAGCCAGAAAAACCATGAATTTTATTAGTATCATTCTCTTCATTATAGTGTTGGCTACAAGATGCAATATGATTTATATCAATATAAAACATGGGCACAAAACTAATCTATATATATATGATATATATATATATATATATATATATATATATATATATATATATATATTTTACCATTTGTGAATCAATATTTTTTGCTATTTTCTCAAAAACTATTAGTCATAAGAAACCTGATTACTGCATTGGAAGACCCATAAAATTCTGCTTCTAGCAGTGTACTGTATAGTACTTAAAACGTTTGCTCAGATAATTTTGAGCTAGGAGGTTTTGAACGTATTGGTGTGTATTTTTTCTCATGTTTATTAGAAGCGACAAAAAATAGCATTATACATGTACTTGTATTTTTTATTTATTTTTGCTTATGTTGCAGAGCAATCAGTTACAAAGTCAAAGATATATGAATTGTGCTAATAAAAACAAGTTTTGGAGGGAAATTGACAAAAGCACAAAATTAAATAAATATATATACTGTATATATTCACCGTGCGCTGTCTCGCCTGCCCTGGGGGCCTCAGAGATGTGATCTTGGAACTGGATAACTTAAAACTTATCTCATGCATGAGAGGATATATAAGGTTAACTGTGCAAAGGTCTATACTGATACTTACAGAGCTCTCTTTGGGGCGTTAGGGTCCTTACGGTTACGTCTTTTACGTGTGGCACGAGCTTGGCGTGGTCCCCTGTATCCTCGCATCTCTGTGTCATAGCGCGTTTTGTCCTTCTCTGCCATGTCATAGAAGCGATGCTTCTCCTTGTCAGTCATTGTCTAGAATAAAATTATTATTGTTTGGGGCTAGACAACTGAAAAAAATCAAGACTACTGTAAACTTTGCTTATCAAAAGATATGAGAAACTTAACACATTTCAAAATGGTATAATACAGTATAAACAAAGTTGCCAACTTTGTTTGAGTCCCTAAACTGTCTCTCTTCCATTTAATTTATAAGTGACTAAAGACATTTTCTTACAATAAAATTTGATATATTATTTTAAACGTAAGACATAACACCATTCCATAGGTCTTGTGACCACAACTACGGCAAACCCTTCATGAAAATACAGGAGTCATTCCTCGTAATTAATGATACCTGGATTCCCTGATACAGTATCTTGACACATTTATAGAAATAAGCCAGAACTTGAAAGATATTGGCTGCTCAATTCCTGAAGGTATTGTATCAACACCAATATCTCCCGAGTCCTGGTGAATTTGTGGACAATTTGCTATCTGTGGGTAATGTGTCATAAATAATACAGAATGAATGCTACAAAGTATACAAAAACATCAGGTTTCAATACTATTAAATGTGTTTCAGTAATAGCTGCCAAGTATTAAAGAGTTCATAAGTGGGTCAAGAAATCAGACTGCCAATAATACCTATCAAAAATCAATGCAACCAAAATACCATGAAAATAAACACAATCATAATGTATTTAGTTCATATAGACTGATTTCAGAGCTATTTGTACAACCCATACTGACAGAATGTACTATAAACTGATTAGTGTGGTACTGTTACTCACCTGGAGACTAGCTATCATAATCACATAAAATACCTGAAGAGTAGCCCTTATTTCACCACCAAACCAAGTTAAATAATACTTGTTTGTTTTTTATTCACTATTCATTGCTCTCCATATATACTTTGTAGTGTATTTCATAAAACTAGAATGTGTATTATAAGTGATTTGTTTGTTCATATTTTTTTTTTTTTTGGTGTGTGTGGGATGGAGGATTGGAGGTTATATGTATTTCTTAGTTGTCCAGGCCTGGGTTTAGGATACAATTAATAATTAAAAGTGTAGGCCTAGGCTGAATATAAATACAGTACATTTAAGAATTAATTTCTCACCTTCCAACGATCAGCACACTTGCGAGAAAATTCAGAAAATATCACGTTCTCATCTGGATGTTTCTTTTTGTGTTCCTCACGACATGTCTGTACAAAAAATGCGTAGGCAGACATCCGCCCACGGGGTTTGGTGTCCACTAATTTGGCACGTGGCATGATGCTGTCAGGGAGAGAAAATTATATTATTAGTAAAAAGAATGGAACTATCAAACCCAAGGCTCTTAAGATTTCAGATAATTAAATTGTTAGCAGAAACGACACATTTACTATTTTTCTTGTGATAGTTTTCCCGGTCACTTAGCTAGAAATAAGAGAAATCGCTTGATGTATACACGGTCTTTAGGTTAGAGTTGACTGGGGTTAGGAATTAAAGAGAATTTTCAAAACAATAAAATACTACATTCTCATAATACCACAGTACTGTACTTCCTAATCCTCACTAATCCAGTTGATTCCATTTATAAGGTGAGTGACTCCAAGGTAAAGTGAAAGAAATTAAAGTTCTCATTGGCAGTACCTTTCTATTCTGCCATGTCCATTGGCAAAAAAAAAATATATATATAAAATCAGTAAAAAATAATCATGAAAAGTGTTCCTAAAGAAGGCTCACTGAAGACCATAAACCACTAACAGTCCATACACAAGAAGCTTCTAAAAAAATAATAAATAACACCATTAGGGTGTTTAAGTTAGGTGAAATAAACTGGGAGCTTGACTTACATTTTAGTATATTTTCATACAGGCATCAGTTTCATCCCACACAGGTTACAACATATATTATACCCAATATTCATGAGATTCTAATTTAGTTTTTTTTTTTTTTTTACCTTTATCCTCTTCACCACTGATCGGCTCGTTAGCCGCTTGGACGATTGGTCATATCTCTGTTACTTTTCTTTTATCCTCTTCACCAAATGCTCGGCTCGTTAGCTGCTTGGGCGATTGGTCACGTCTCTGTTACGCACTGTTGGCAAGTACTGGGCATGCCCCTGAACCCGCTACAGTGTTGGTCAAGTCTGGTTGGTCACACTCGGTGCCGTCACAACACTTTCTGGTAGATTGTTCCAAGAGTTCGCAACTCTCACTCCGAAAAAGTTTGCCCTCACAGTTTTCTGGACTTGCGGCTTCTTCAATCTTGAGCTGTGACCCCTTGTGGGGCGAGCGTCCGCCAGCTCCAAGTAAGGACACTCGACTGAGTAGTGCCCCTTGAGATGCTAATACACCTCAATTAGGTCGCCCCTTGCCCGTCTGTAGTATAAGCTAGGCAAGTTCAGGCGCGCCACTCTCTCAGGGTAGCTGAGGTGCCGAAGTGCAGGCACCAGTCTGGTGGCCCTCCTTTGAACATTTTCAACTGACAGTCCCTAGCATATCTCGAGGACCAGACGGGGTGACAGTACTCCAGATGGGGAAGCACTTCACTCTTGAAGATCGTTACGAGGGACGGGCCGTCTAGATATCTGAACGACCTTCTTATAAGACCCAATAATTTATTTGCGTGATTTACCTTCTTCTCCCAGTGGCCCGAGAACTTCAGCTCATTGTCAACATACACACCTAGGTCCTTCTCACATCCAGTCTCAAATAGAGCAGTTTATTCATCCCGTTGGGACATATGATAGGCCTCCTTACCGATGGTACGCCCCAGGTGCATCCTCTTACACTTCGTGACATTGAATCTCAGCAGCCATTTCTTTGACCATTCTTGGAGCCCACAGAGGTCCTTCTGCAGCTCTTCACAGTCTGCTTGGTTCTTGAATTCCCGAAATAACTTGGCGTCATCGGTAAACATTTGTATGGAGGAGTGTATAACGTCAGGCATATAATTTATGAAACAAACAACAGCGGGCCCAATACACTGCCCTGTGGTACCCCGCTTGTGACAGATACGGATGATGATTTTGTGCCATTAATCACCACACACTGCTTGCGGTCATGTAGAAAGTCTTCTATCCACGCTAGGACATTTCCCCGAATTCTGTAACCTTCCAGTTTGATTTTCAGCCTTTCGTGGGGTACACTGTCGAAAGCCTTGGCAAAATCTAGGTAAAATTTTTTCAATATTACCACCCTGTTCCAGATTATGGCTCCAAATATCCAATACCTTGAGCAATTGTGTTAAGCAGGAGCGCCCCGGCATAAAACTGTGTTGGCAATCCTTTACAAGGTTGTTTCATAGTAGATGTTCCATCACGGCATCTCTGATAATACTGTCAAACTGTTGATGGATATAGTAGCTCTTAATCTGAGAAAATATATTGTACACTAGTCAAGTCACAGATACCAGCTAGAAAAGCAATGTATAAATAATGACGTAATCCCCTTAAGAGCTAGTTACGAGATACATAATCCGTATAAAGAACATTTCCTATCCCCTATTTTAAGATTCAATAAAAATTTATGAATCCACTGTAACCACACTCCAGCATCATATTCCAAGTGAGACCAACCTCACGTATTCAGCATTTTTTTTTTTAATTATATATATATTTAAAAAATCAATAATAAATCCCATATTCAATCAGTTAACTGCAACAGAAAATCCTTTGTCTCGCCTACCCTCACCCCCCCATCAGTAATTATTCTTTCAACTGTTACATCTGCTGCACTACCATACTGAGTGACATCATAACCCAGGAATATAAGTGCTGTTATCATATCCAGTAAGTGTAAAGTGTGGTGTAGAGTGTGGGGACCAAGTTAACAGTAGAGTGTAGGTGTCCATCACATTCTGGGACGACCACAAAAATCTGAAATGGTATCACTCGTTCCAATGCTTCCACTTAGTCTTCTTATATCTCCTAAATACTAATAAAATTAAAAATAATTCTCCCTTTATCTGCTCTAATTTTTATGTATGAATAAATCAGACTATTGTGCATTGGTCTAAACGATGGTAGATGATTAGATAAAGGTGATATTTTAATTAAAGATCACCTGGCCGCCTCCTCGTCTACACATTCGAACATCTTTGCCCAATGAACACCATAACTTCTTCATTCTGATTCAGCAAATACTGAAGTTTCTCTAAACCTTCCCCTTCAATGTGTCACTCGAGGCCCTCCGCCGTACAAATACCCAACCTAGGAACTTTACATCTGCCATCTAAACTCAGTGATTCTCCTGGTAATTAAAAATAACTTTACTCACAAGGGCACGCACTTTGTTTTATGGCTGCCATTGCAAGGTTTAAGGAGGACGCTCTTAAGTTTTATAATTTTCCGGTCACGATGAAAGTAATTAGTGGATAAATAATTACTTTTTAGGTGCGTGTGGCCCAGGAGGGGGAGTAGGTCACCATATAACAGCAGAACACACTGAGATATTGCTAAAAATACTTCACCTGTGGATGGGTACACTTCGACGTAAAGGATCCACGGGCGAGTCGACGGCGTTCTTCCATAGAGAAAGCATAGGAAGGCAATCTCAGCTGCTGATTGGTTCATTTTGTGTTTCCCGCAAAAATTGCCCAATCATATTTCAGGTTAGTCAACCGGTATGTAGAAAAACCAACCAATGAAAATTTAGAAATTCTTAAAGAGTTGACAAACTGGGTTTTTCCGACTTGTGAAGCTGATATTTAATTGTCTGATAAGAGTACACGGTCTCTTGTGTTATGGCGCTTACTTAAGGTGCACATAAATTATAAATAAACTAATTTATTATTATCACATATGAAAGAATTGTCAAAATTAACACGATTAATGCATACAATAAATTAATAAGCTGCTTACTCTCTCGGGTGTGCCAACCAATCAACACGCTTCCTCTATACCGTCTAGGATATACTGTGACACCAAAGACTTAAGAAAATTAAATTAATGGTAATATCTTCAAGTTATTAGTAAATATGAAATATATAAAAAATAAATATCTCAATGAAATTATTATTTAGTATTTATATTGAGTATATATTTAATTTCTGTTGATATATATTACAAAGCCACCTGATTTATTGTTATTGGAACTTGGTGTAAACAGATGTGAAAGGGAAAGCGGAGGAGGCAGGTTGTGTCAGACTTGTTCCCTGGTGCTGAGTGTCCTGCTGTGTCCTGTGTCCTGCTGTGTCCTGTCGGTGAATATTGGACCGGTTTTATGAATCATGAAGAAGAACTAGATGGTGAACGATGATTGTTTGAACTATATATTAAATGAGGTGAAAAATAACATTAAATTAAGACAAACACTTTGAATGTCTCTGATCATTTTTATAATAATTCATTTTTCAAACTGCTGTACAGGTTATGGCATTAGAAATAAACAGCTATAAACTGCACTGTAATCGTTTGAAATATATACTAAATAAGGTGAAAAGTATTATATATTGAGACCAACAAAATTTTTGAAAATCGCTACATAGGATCATTTAATACAATAAGTGTTAAATAGAGGTATAACACTGTATGTACCGTGTTTAAAAGTGTGGTTATTACACCCAGAGTACACACATCATCGTCCTCAACCATTTGTTTCAAGGTGAGAGGAAATACTTGGTTATGTCTTATAGTTTTGTTTGGTCGAGCCTGACACACCCAACGTCTTAACTCAGAGCATTATTTATAACACCTCTCTATTAGGGGTTGATTATCTTACTTTAAAGAGTTATGATGTGACACCCCTGAGTGAACCAAAATCCTGTAGTGTATATTGTAAGTTATGTTTCATTGGTGAGGTTGTAGGGTGGTAGTTGTGGACTGGAGAGATAAATAGACCTTTATTCAGTAAAATCACCATACAGGTTTACAGTTGGTTCACCATCTATATAGATAATGCAGGAAGCCTATACAGCTCATCATGTACCTGTATGTATATAATGTAGGTATACAGGTCAGCATGTATACTGTATAGACAATGCAGGTATACAGTTCAACATGTATATACAATGCAGGTATAGTTCAACTTGTATATACAATGCAGGTATACAGTTGAACATGTATATACAATGCAGGTATACAGTTCAACATGTATATACAATGCAGGTATACAGTTCAACATGTATATACAATACAGGTATACAGTTCAACATGTATATACAATGCAGGTATACAGTTGAACATGTATATACAATGCAGGTATACAGTTGAACATGTATATACAATGCAGGTATACAGTTCAACATGTATATACAATGCAGGTATACAGTTCAACATGTATATACAATGCAGGTATACAGTTCAACATGTATATACAATGCAGGTATACAGTTGAACATGTATATACAATGCAGGTATACAGTTCAACATGTATATACAATGCAGGTATACAGTTGAACATGTATATACAATGCAGGTATACAGTTCAACATGTATATACAATGCAGGTATACAGTTCAACATGTATATACAATGCAGGTATACAGTTCAACATGTATATACAATGCAGGTATACAGTTGAACATGTATATACAATACAGGTATACAGTTCAACATGTATATACAATGCAGGTATACAGTTCAACATGTATATACAATGCAGGTATACAGTTCAACATGTATATACAATACAGGTATACAGTTCAACATGTATATACAATGCAGGTATACAGTTCAACATGTATATACAATGCAGGTATACAGTTGAACATGTATATACAATACAGGTATACAGTTGAACATGTATATTCAATGCAGGTATACAGTTCAACATGTATATACAATGCAGGTATACAGTTCAACATGTATATACAATGCAGGTATACAGTTCAACATGTATATACAATGCAGGTATACTGGTATACAGTTCAACATGTACTGTATATAGATAAAGCAGGTATACAGTTCAACATGTATATAGGTAATGCAGGTATACAGCCCATTAGGTGTATTCAATGCAAGTATACAGTTCAACATGTATATGGACAATGCAGGTATACACTGTCTTATTATGAAAAGAAGTTGGGTAAATATTCTACCTGTACAAAACGAATAATAACCTTACAAAATAAAGACGGTTGACATCCTAGGTATAGATTCCAATTCTTTGGCAGGGTGAGGAAATACCAGTCAAATTTCTGCATCAATTTGGTGCCAATACTGTATTAGGTTGTGTAGTCTTTTGTGTTTGACAGGCTTTGTGTAAAGTATCGTACCACTTGTTACTGCCATATTGTATTAATGATATAGCTAGGCTGGATATTGAATAACAAACATTTTAAAATTTTGAGCTATTTTTGTTGGTAATAAAAAAAATGATCACCACCTGGGTGTTTATATTAGGTTATCATGAAGGTGGTTAATCTTTGGGTGACATAAGCTGGGGGCTAATTTTGAAGTGATCCCCCCCCAAAAAAAAATATATATATACAGTATTTGTGAACTTAACAATACATACAGTAGAATAAGGGTACATACGAGGAACACAATGGTAAAGTGTTGTTTGCAAATGGTGGCCTGTGAGGCTAGCATTAAATCATTTATGAAAGATGACTGGAGGTGAATGACCTTTGCTTATATTTATGCTGTAATTCATTTAATCCCTTTCTTTTCATCTTTCTTAAATGTTTTAACTCCTTGTGTATGGGGTTCATTCTGAGCTGAATACAATCATGTGACATTAAACAAATAAAATATTAAAAACGGCATCTGCATATTGAAAGGTTGATGATGAAGTCTCACTTGTAAACACTGTGTAGTGCACTGTGCCGGTACTGTATGAGAAATAAAGATTAATGGATCAATTGAAGATTATTCATTTTTAGATTAACCAACCTAACACTATAGGGGGAGTAGGTTAGGGTGCCATTGGGTGGTTATTCTTTAGGTGAAATATGCTGGGGAGAGGAGAAAACTTCAATAATCTTTATTTTCATACAGTACTTTGTACAGTACAAAATTACAGTACAGTATAGTGAACCATCCATAAGTTTGTTCAAGTGTCCATAACTATTACCCTAAACCTTTTATACAGTAAATAAGTTCAGCAAGATAAGATATACTGTACAGTATATCTTGTCGACAGAGAGGTTAAGTCAGGGAGAGTCCCTGCCATAGTCTTTTACCCAAGATGCATGATTTATTATGAAACACCTGTAAATACTGTATGGCACCTGTACCTGGTTCAGCACTGTCTCATCCTTTCTTGTTTATTTTACATGATATACTTCAGTACTTTCTACTGATGTGTTACCTGTAAGGCATAAGAATAAGATTCATATTTGGCTGCGAATAAAAAGAAAAATCAGTGTACGTTATATGTACTGTACTTAAAAAAATTAATAATATTTCAATTTACCTTCATTGATCTGTTTATTTTAATGCATGGACCACTTATGAAGCAGAACTACAGTACCTGTACTGTACTGTACGGGTACAATATACTACAGTGTATACAAGAACCAAACAAAACTGCTTGAGGATGGTTAGACCAGGTAAACTAGATTTCAAAGCTAAATTGAAGTTCTCCATTCAAAGTGTTCCAATTGTATCAACACTATTAAGACATAAAAGGTTCAAGGTAAGTCATGCGTGACAGCAGGCAGCACAAACATAACTTCTGACCATAAGGTGCTTAGTGGTTCATGTCAAACACGGTCTTGTATTATATTTACTAGGTGTGGTGGCCTCCCTGTTTGGATCACTTTATGTGGAAAACTTCAACTTTAGATTCTTATTTTTGCACTTTTTTCTTTCTCACTTAGCTACATGGTTGTGCCCTACAAGAGGCACCACCTGTGTAATTGTGGTTGCAATTACCTGTGCCTGTACATACTGTAGGTATGCCATCAGTCTATCGGAACTCGATACCCATTGGTCGGATCTCCTGCTTATTTCACCTTATGATTAAATACTACCGTAATCCTAACTTAGCTAACTCTAACCTAACCCCTCCATTTAGCTTTTGGTTATGATCATCAGATGAAATAAGTAGGTTTCCTAATCTTCATGAGAAACCATTTGTATCTTAATCTAATCTAACTTCCACTTATTTCCCGTGAATAAGTGAAAGTGGGACTCCTAAAGCCAGATGATCCATTAAAAGGCAGTGCATAATTATATACAGTACGTACTGTATATACCTGTACTGTACGTACTGAACACTGAGCCTTCAGTACACAAGGATGCAGTGTGACCAGCACTGCACTGTCACCTTCACTTCTCATACTGTAAAGTTATGTACTGGTAGCCATTCACAGCTGGGTGGAGGGACAGACACAAACTAGTGATATTTAGGACAGGAGGTAAGTACTGCATCTACTCACCCTCTCTCCACCTTGTAATGTCTTCCATCTTTTTTTTCCAGCTAGTATCGCCATCAAGAGATAGTTCTTGCTCTCTTTAACGATGTAGGTGTTCCTCTCAAGGATATTTATGTGTTTTTATTAATTACGTTACTCTTCAGGTATTTCAGGAGTTTCACAACCTTTTACAGCAATTTGAAATTCTTAGTCATTAGTATCGGTATTTAATTTCCTTAGACCTTACCATACAGTTGTGTATTGAAAGGTCTGTTTATTTTTATTTATTTTTTAGCTATGTTTTGTGGTTTGTCATTGTTAATTATATGGTATTTAAACATCGTATATTTAGTTGTTAACATCAGTTCATGCCTTTCTTCTAAGGGTTCCAGCAATGGGCATACTTGAAGGAAATTTTCATGTAATTTCCTACTAAAGACAGTTATCTTATGGATATCCAGAGGCGAGTGTGTGTGTGAGTTGAGAGTGTGTCAACATGTTAAGTTAATGTTTGAGAAGACAGTACAGTATTGCTGATGGGAGATGTTAGCTTATGTGAAGCACCATGAACACCAAATCTGAGGCTCCATGGGAGAAGGGGAGCACAGTGCAGTACAGTACAGTGCAGTGCAGTACTATAGGTAGCTAATGGAACATCTATAGCTGCAGTTGTAAGAATGAAGAGGTCTTGTAAAGAGTAGGAACCTCTCCTTATTTCACCCACTGATGGTTTCTTCTTTGGATATGTTCTTTTGCAATGATGGTTTTGCTGTAGTCAAGAATCACACTTAGTACTACTGATCTGTATTCTGTACTTGTTTCAACAGTAATTTGAAAGCTTGTATCTACTGTATTTGCTATTGCTGATTTTTTATTGAACTACAGAACTAGCTACAACCTTCAGTCTTTACAGACATCATATATCATAAATCATAAATAAAAATTAGCTATAGTATTCAAGCATAGATATCACAGATCTTAAAATTGCTTGACATTTGCAATCACTCGCTGCCTTTCAACTGCTATACAGTACAGGTATTAATATGGGCTGCCTTAAGCTCCCTGTAGTAGTGAAGCCTTACTCTAACTGTAGTACATCTGTACAGTAATGTATAGTACAGTAGTACTGTACTACTTGGTTTATCCTGCTGTTTCATATTGTCTTCCTGGCTGTAGCTCCTTCCATCCATTCTATTCTTGCACATGAGTTTTAATTTTACCGTGTGGGATTTTAACCCTTAAACGGTGACCTTTACTGGTGGAAAATAGCTGTAGGGATGGCAGCCATAATCAGTGGATGTTTCTTGTTCCTTGTGCTGTTTTGTGCAAATGGGGGAGAAAAGAATCATTAGCTACCAGTTAAGGGTTAAGCTTCTGTTCTAAACATATTCACTATCACTACCTGCTGTAAAACAACATGGCAGTTTTTTAATACTTAAAAGCACTTGAATTGTGGTCAAATGCAGCAAGTTAAAATATTTTAGAAAATTCCACTTCAGGTGCTGTGGCTAAGCTCTAGGAGGGTGATCCCAAGGTTTACCACTGTCTCTCACTGTTATTATCCTTTGTTATTTCATTTATATACTTTTATATTTGTGTTCCATATGTGGATATAACTCTCTGATGTCATTATTAATATTATTATTATTGTGTTCGATAACTGCGTGGACAAAAGGACTCTTATCTCAGGCTGAGAAAGTGATATATGATCAGGCTGGACACATAAGCACTGCCAGACATACCATTATCCCCGCCTAATATGAGTGCGGTTAATCAAGATCTCCACTTTAAGGGACCGGTAAGTTAGAAAACCAGTTCACCTTAATGTATGTAGCACAGTAAGTGGGACATGTTACCTAATACTTGGGATGGCTGAGATGGAGCTCCTTGTTTTGAGATGTGTTTAAGGATGGAGACTTCTCAAGTGGCCAAGTGACTGCAGGAAGTTCACTTAGCAATGCAATGCTGGCAGCTCCATTAACTGAACCATTTGTGGACTATAATTCAGTGTCTTGTGTTGATCTCACCTGCCCTGCTCCACCATAGTGTTGGTTGTCACTGTTGATGTTGGTTGTATGTGTAATCCAACACATAACCCAGTGTTAGCTATATATGTGTTTGTTGTTCTGCCTTAGCTTCACATCACTCCCCATCACACAACCCAATTTCACCAACAGTCTTGTTGTGTTCACTCGACTTTGCATACTGTGTCAAAAGCTAAGGGGTCAGGTTATTACCTCTACGTATCTTTGTCAGATGGACACCTTGGTAGCTATATAGTAAATGAGGAGACAATGGCAGAACACATCTGGTAAGACAGCAAGAAAGGTTGAATGAATGCGACTCTGTGTTGCTACTGTTAAAGGCCACCCTGCATGACTGTGGGAAAGGACTTGCTAGAGCAAAAAAAAAGTACTTGTGGTAAATTTATTAATTAGTGTTAATACATAGAAAAGAACACAAAAAATTTTGCTGGGCTTTACACCAAGAAAATTACACTTGTATTTCACTCTTGTTGGTGTTAGTAGAGTGGCCTGAAGGTGAGGGGGCTCCTGCAAATCATGACAGCCAGTTAAGGGTTTATTACTGAGTCAAAGGTTCATATAATGTACAGTATATATCACTAGAAAAGGTCAATTCATCCTTCAAAGTATCACTTCATGTCATATTGTACTTAATATTTTAAGTTAACAAGTTAGGGGCCTAGAAATTCCTAGCTAACCCCTTCCCTCCCAAACACAAACACAAAAATGATGAATTAGAATAAATTAACTTGTCATATCACTGTGTATAAATTTGCATGCTTTTTTATGAATGAACTTAACATAAATTAGAAAACATGTTAATCATGTAGTAAATTAGTGAACTTGAAGTCATAGGAGTCTCTTGACGTCAAAGAGTTTTATGTATACAGTACAGTACTCCATCTGGGAGTATACAGTATTTAGCATTACCCAATGAGGCTGCTCTTTGTGGGGTGTTCATTCACTACCAGGAGACATTCTGTAACTATAGGAAGTATCTATAACCACAGTGATACTTTGTTTAAACATTGTTGAAGTTATACAATTTACATTTGTAAGGTTCATGGCCTCGAATATATCTTATGAACATCATTGTCTGGTTTAGATTACGGTCAAAATGAATGGGTTGAGCACGGAGGAAGACTCTGGATCACAACATGACCAAGTGTGTTGCTTGGTGGACGCCGGGGAGCGATGCACACAGTCAGCGGGGAATGCTGCATACAACAAGCGGATACAAAAAACAGTAGCACAGAGAAAACTGAGACTCCACATGGATTCAACGGTTAGTTGATGCTGATATTGTGTGACAATTAGGTTTGTTCTACTGGTGAATCTTGTTCTGAAGATTGTCTGAAATCTCTCCAAAAGTGTGACCCAACCAAACATGGCAGGTTTCCTCCGGGCACTCCAGTTTCCTCCAACTGCTCAAACAGCTAGTACAGTAAGCTGATGAATTAAGAAAAGAAAAAATGAAGTAGTGTTGTCTGGTGCCACAGTTGGTCATCTCCTTGAATGCTTAACACCAGACTCATCAGTTTTATGGAGGATTATATAGTTCATTTGGTAATCTCCTTGAATGCCCAACCACAGGACATGAATTGGAACCTCTGGCTGAGCAGGGTATGAGGCACTCTTTGTGGTAGACACGGAGACATTCAGTGGTGCGTGAGAGTCCTAAGCTAAGGTAAGTTGTCTCCGAGGGGCTGCCTCCTGTCGAGACTGTGGACCTTTGGGGTAGGGATGTTAGATATGATATAAAGAATGTACAGTACACGTCTTGTTTTTATGTATTTTCACGACAAGGTTACGAAGTTTCATTAATATTTGAAGATTACACTCATTTGTTAACCCTTAAATGGCACCCATCATCAGTGAAAGTAAGCTTTAGGGATGGTGGCCATCATCAATGGACGTGTTTTTTCCTTGCGTTCCGTTTTTTTTTGTGCACGTGGGGGAGGGGTAGGGAATCCTCGGCCAGCGGTTGAGGGTTAAACATTCACCTGCCACTCATGTCATTGGTTGAATCCATATAAAAACGTGAAAATTTTTGCAGTCGAGCCACAACTATATCTGTGAACACCATAAAAGCGTCATCCAGAGCGTCCGAGTCAAGCGTAAAAGACGAGAGTCGGAAGAAGATTCTGGTGAATTTGACGGGGACCATCCTGAGGTGGAGCTATACAACTTGCAAGTGAGTGGTGGTGGTGGTTCATCTTGTGTCTCACCTTTGTGGATTGTTTTCATGCCTTCTACACACTTTACTATTACCTTAACATTCTGCCTTTCTTCTATTTATTATTACAGTACAGTACAATTATTATTCTTTTTCCTTCTTCTCATTGTACATCTTATTCTTCATTTTCCTTCTTCTCATTCTTCATCGTCTTATTCTTTTTCCTTCATCTTCGTTTTCTTCTTTTTGTCACTAAACATAGCAGTGAGGTTTCATGTAATCGTCAAAGCTAAAAGGATAAAAGTTGTGTAATAGCATATCCTAATATCTTTTTAAACCTCTCCTGACTTAACACTTAAGTGCCATTCATGTTGTCAAGGTCACATGTTTCTCCTCTTTTATCCTGGAGTGAGGTTATGCACAAGGGGGTTATATTTTCATGGGTGTTGGAGTAGTATACAGCATCTAGCCTCTCAACAGTTCTCCCTTCAGCCTGTAGATATGACTCACTCACCACATCCTGTTGAACTTATGAATGATATACAGAACCCGATGTGTGTTTTCATGTTCAATGGTTTCGTGCTGTTGACCATGTGATATTTAATCCTCTTTAAAGCTGTTGTATTTGTTTGATTTTATTTGAAGAACTCACACATGGGGGGTCAAGGACCAATTTATACTTACTCACTTGTGAAGGGGGTTAAATGTGTACAGTATATAGTCTTGGCTTTTCTCATGGAACTAGACAGCTGGTACAGTACATTTGTTGGACGCATTCTTTCGTTGTTTTATTGGAATGGAGGAATATGTTATTTGGCCTTTTTTTTCATGAGATTACATTTGGTGTGTTTGAATGTGTTATGAAGTATTGTTGCTTTGTATTTTATTCTGGTCTTGATGGATCGTTGTTTTTTAAGCAACCTCTTAACGACTCTTATACTATTTATATTCAGATTTGGTATTCGGCCACTTTTTCGTGTTAAAGAACTGCATTCTTGATAATTTTTGTACCTGAGTAAAATTTTCCAGTTTAGGTTTATATATATATATATATATATATATATTGTGATGTGGATGATGTCTTTAAAACACTTCAACCAGTGTACTAATGAGTCATGTCTACATAAATACTCAAGGGGGTATCTGGTGTGTTGTGTATGGAGTGGAGATGATGTAGACAATGAGGATAAAAGCCTAGATATTTGATAAATTGAGGTGTCTTGAGATATTTAGATGAGACTTCTTTTTTCTATAATTGTGGACCACAACGGACCATCAAAGAAGTCACAATGTTTGTACAGCTTTTTCTTGTTATTTATTATAAAGAATCTTACAACATGTATTCTCAAATTAGATATTCCCTTACCACACAGGCAGGTTTAAGACTCAAATACTGTAGGGTAGTGGAGTATGGCGGTCAAGCGGATACAGCACTCGCCTCCTGTTTCGGGGGTCGACGGTTCGATTCCCAGGTGCTCCCAGTTCGCCCAGCTGTAAATGGGTACCTAAGTTTACAACTTGGGGAAGTGAAGGCAGTCGAGTGCAGTCCCAGCCATGCTGCCACCTTGTGTACCAAAGGCTTAGTATACAGTGTGCTGTATCCGTAATCTCCATAATGGGCAGTCATGCCTATGGGACCCACTTTCACTGTAGGGTAGTGACAATTTTTAGGTGATTTGTTTCATGAGTAGTTTCTGGCACAAGTTTTACCCATCCTGTGTTGCGGTAAGTAAGTTTTCTCTGGAATGTAACCATGAGAGAAGCTGGAAGTTCAATGATAACATTCTTGTATGATAAGCCTTTTGGAACAAGATCTTACCTTTTGCCTTCTGCCTCAGCTGGCTTGGATCTCATTGGTAAAGTCTTTCTCCCTGTTTTAACTATAATGAAAGTAATGATTCCAGAATAGATGCAGATGGTACAGGGTGATTCACTCGCTGGTAGCCCCGAATTTTCACTGATATAGCCATTATTTCTGAGACAATGAACATGAGAGAAAGAAACATTTGAGAATATAGTACAGCTATCAAAAACTTTACTGAAGATACACAAAACATGAATACAGTACAGTATATCATAAATAATGGATATACAGTAGAAGTCCAAAAATCCGGACTGCTTGGGGATTGGGTCGGTCTGGATTTTCGGATTTTCCGGATTCTCAGGCAGTACTTTTGAAATTCAAATTTAAGGAGGAATAAAGAAGAGATGAACAGGTACATTTTGATAGTTTAGCCATTAGCATATATAGCATGCTTCATTTATCAAAATGAGCAGTTTTAAAGAAAAAGCTGTGAATTCTAGAATTTTATTCTGTGCCTTTTTTATATCATAAATTGTAGATTTTCCAATGTCGTATGTTTCCATTAGAACAGTATTGCTCACACCACGTTCTAGTTTCTTAATTATTTCAAGTTTGTCACTCAATTTCAACGTGTTCTTCTTTCTCGTCACACAACGACGTTTATCTACTTTAGGAGCCATTATTATGGGCTTGTACAGTACTGTGTAAATGGAAAGAGTAGGACTCAAAATTACATACGTTGTCACAGTTTGATTGCTCATTTTAAAGTGGCGACCACGTGGTCGCCTGTTGTCGCTGTGCAGCTGTGGCGCTCACGCATGCACACATACACACACAAGCCCGCTAAAAAAAAAAGTGAGTTTTCGAAAAGTGCGGATTCTCGGGTGGTCCGGATTTCTGGCATCCAGATTTTTTGACTTTTACTGTATTAGCAATACAGTACAGTGGGGTATGCTATAACGAACGTAATTGGTTCCAGAATCTCGTTCGTTATAGGATTAATCCGTTCCAGGCCCCCAAATACAACCGCTTAACACTGAAAAAATTCTGTGGAAAATGTAAAAAATACGGTACTTTATCTTACCTTAGTGTTATTCAGCATGCAGGTACCCCTAAACACTGGCACATCACTATCACTTCCACTGGGAGTCTTGGCTTTAAGGTCCTCAAACAATTGTTTAGCCTTCTCACAAATTATAGCTTCACTAATGTTACCACCTGCCATTTCTTTCTCCTTTATCCACACTAAGAGTAAATTTTCCATCTCTTCAATCACATTACACCTTGCTTTGCTAAGTCTAAAGATTCCCTTAGCCACTTGCACAGTTTTTAACTCCTCTTTATTCTTCAAAATCGTACATATAGTCGATTTAGCCATCCCATATTCATCACTAAGTTTCGCAATGCTTCTTCCATTCTCACGTTTCTTTATAATTTCTTTCTTAGTTTCAAGGGTTATTAGCTTTCTCACTCGCTTTGGACGACTCATTGTTACAATTGTATACTTGTATAACAAAATAGTTATACAAATAACGCGAATTTCCACATCAAAAGACGAAATTTCAACAATAACAGTGGTGCACTGGCTACACAATGAGACAAAGATGGCGCCTGACGCTCTTGTTGTGGGTCGCGGTACAACAATATTCATGCGCCAGGCGAAATAGTCCGGTATTCATCCGCGTTCGTTATAGCATTCTCAATTTTATAGGTAAAACCGTTCGTTATAGGAATATTCGTAGTTGGATCCGTTCGTTATAGCATACCCCACTGTACTTTGAATTGACCAGCAAGTGAATCACCCTGTAGAAAAGTAAAATAAGAAAGCATCAAATGTTCAAGATATAGTTAAATGCAAGATGAAACAGGAGGGTAAAAATCAGTGGTGGTTCTTGTCTGTGTTTGTTTGATGGTTAGTTTGTTATCTTGTTCCTGTTTTATTATGAGTAATAAGTGGTTCCTTCCGCTAATTTCCTATGATTTGTCGGCAGGTGAACACATTGAGAAGATACAAGAGACATTACAAGATACCAACCCGCCCAGGTCTGAATAAAACACAGTTGGTTGATGTAAGTTTACAAAACCTAACGTAACCATTAACTATTATACCTTGATGTTCAGCTTCATGAGGTAATGGAGTGCAATTACCGAATACAGTGTCTACATATTATCTGATCCAGTTTAAAAGTTAATAACCTCAGAAATATAAATGGAACAGTACAGTACACAAGTGGAACTTTTACTAAAACAAGAAAAAAACACATTTGAGTTTGTCAGTTATAATAAAAGCCAACATATTCTCTCTCTCTCTCCTTTTTTTTTTAATGGGTCTGGTGGTTTATGGACAACCTGTATATTCAGATGTTAATGTGAAACTATATATGTTGGCAAGATGGTGTCCAATGGTTTGTACGAGTATGTACTTTATGCTTCGCTGACGACCATCTGTCCAGGAGAGGCAGCAGATGGATGGGTTAGCCCAGAAAGACAATTAGCAGTAGTCACTCATGTAGAATATCCAGTTTGTCATCTGATTTTGCCCCTCTTGCCCATCCATACGTAACTAGTTTACTGAAATAGTGCGGGAGGTAATGTATTAGAAAAATTTCTTGTTAGGCAGTAATAATGAAAATTACTTTGAAGTTAGTTAAGTATAGTTTAGATAAATAAAGGAGTAAGATTGATAACTTTGTTGACTTATTATTTTCATTAAGGGAATGTGTTGGTAAATCACAGAAGCAATTTGATTATCAGTTTCATGGGATCATTCATCCTTGAATGATAATTTTTTGGGAGTAAGGTACTGAACTGTCTCTTGCTTTTCTTTCATGAACATTTACCCATAGTCAGTCTTACCCTACATGTGGAGTATTAGTCCAACTAAAGCAACTATTTCTTCTTTCAGATTCTTATGAAACATTTTAAGACTGTACCAGTAGCTGAGAAAGAGTGTCTCACATACTTCATCTACATGATCAAAGCCAACCGATCCAAATTCGACCAGAGGAATGGATCTAGTATTGACATGTGACCTTTGGTGTCTAAACGAGTGCTCTAAGTAGTAAGATGGACTGGAGATTTATTGGATCAATCTAGTCCTTTTGAGAATTTTTACTGCTTATTGTGACCTGTTACCACAGAGGAAGGAATGAGCAATTAAAAAGTCTTCACCATGGATATATGGCTTTAAGAATCGGCGCAGAAACTGCTATTGTTTTACACTTTGATTTGGCTTTCTAATTCTCATGACAAATACCTATTTTTGTAAATAGAGCTTTAGTGAGCCATTGTTGGATGTGTAAAAATAATTGTGTGTCTTGTTCAGTTGTGACTGGAGAAGAAATCTGGTCATGGGTTCAGTTATTGGTTACTGATGGCTGAATCCAGAAAATGGTACAATATTCAATATTGTAAATTACCCATAATCTTTAATTGTAATTTTATCATTAGAATCAAAACTGCAACTACTGTAGTATTCCACACAAGTTTGGGGAAGTATCCTGGTCATCGTTTATGTTTGCTTGTGATGAATGTGTGTATAAGTGCTTGTTGCTCTTCAGTGCCCCAGATTGAACAGCTGTGTTATGGTCAGTGTTCACTTGAATCGTCACCAATTTTGGATGGCCGGTGAAATGTGTTCCTAATTATATTTGCCAATTTATTCAAACCTTTTTAACATTGGAATTTGACATTTGTCTCCGTGTTTGTGACTGAACTTTTTATTTTTTTAAGTGCTCAAATTTCTGGTGCAGTGTTGCTTCATATAGATTTGTATGATACAGAAACAAGGTTTATAATTATGAAATTATATGCCTCATAGGCTTGTTTGTGTAGATACTTGGAGAGTAAAACTTCTTTAGTTTGATGTTCTCTATTTTAAATTCCAGACGTAACACTTTTTTAAGTTTTGAATTATATAGCAGTAATGACTGAACACGATGAAAAGTTTTCATATTTTCATTATGCTCTTGATGCAAAAAACAGCTCTACTGTATATATTGTTGTTATAAATAACATTTGAATGCTATTTTATTTAAACTGTTATAATATTGGTAATTTTATGAATAACTCGACACTTCGGTTACTTCAACTTCCCCTTGACTTGAAGCTTGTTGAATTAAAGAGGTTTTGCTGTGTTGTTAGTTTAATGTAGCTAGAGTTTAATGTCAAGCCAAAACGAGACCCCAAGGATATCCTCTCCTAGCTTTTATACTTTCCCAGTACAGTATTGTAAAGATCTTGTGAAGATTGGCCAATATTCATCTTACAGGAACTCAACCTGAACTTATATATAGCTTATTTTAGATAGGCAGTTGTACTAAGTGTGACAGTAGTAGTGTTGGTAAACAGATAAGTGATGTGCTGAATGTTCCTCACACACACACACACTCTCACCTCACAGGTACACACATGTATAATAAGAACATTATAATAACTATGGATATTTGTCATCCAACTCACAACACATCCCCTTCCCCACCTTAACATAGGTTGGCTTGAACTGGTGTTGATCTGATTCATATCATTCAGTAGAATGACAAGTCTACTAAAGGGTTGTTCACCATAGGCAAGTGTGGCTGATACAGTAGTGTACTGACAGCACAAATGTAAGTGTGCAAAGAGGAAATTTAGTCCTCCACTCTTACTGGGAATCAACCCATGACCATTCACTGTTCCAATGTGACTTAAACAATCCTTTCATTTGTGTTTAAGTGCAGTTGTTCTACTCACTTTAGTACTACTACAACAACTCATCCATAAACTTTGGATATGCCAAACTAAAAACCTTCCTCTTTCTCCTCCTCTTCATCTTTTATTCTTCACACCTTGCAACATAATTGTCTGCTGACTTTAAACAACAAACAAACTCCCACCATCCATAAGCAATATTTTCTATCATAGAAGATGTAAAGCAAGATGAGTTTGAGTATAGGTCACAGTGGCAGCTGCCTCTTGGTCTCTGTGAGACTGTTGTCTGGTGCTTCTGTCTCTCAAAACTCTGGTAATATCTTTCTGGAATGTCTTTATTTTATTGTGAGTGGATGTATTGTTTCTTAAAGATCCTTTTTACATTCATGGCTAACACCTTTTCAGACTACTACCTCAACTTAACAGTACTACAGTTGTCAGCCTTTGACATTTGGTATTCTACAACTCGGAAAATAGATGGTTGAAGAACTAGACTTGTGTGCTATTCTCAAGTGGATTTACCATTCCAATTTTAACACCAACATCAAGCCTTTTCAATGTTGATCTTTTTTCTACAGTTTCTCACTTTACCAATACTTGACCAAGTAGTTTAGTGGCTTGATTTTCATTTTTTGAACAGCATAACAATAATGATTACTCTAGAAATGTTCTTTATGGTCTTCCTTGTTATTATATATGATTATTAAACATCTTGGGGCAGTCTTGTGAGAGTATCTAACAACAGACAGATGAGCATTGATCCTGTATCTTGATCAAATGGGTTAAGAGCAAAATATTTTATAGAGGTTTGCCAAACTGTGTTACAGTCTTAACTAATTTTCACTAGCTCTTAATGTTCAGGACAACTTTCATTATTACAAAATCCTCAGAAAGGCTGTGGGTGATGTGTTGGTGCACTTCACATACACACCTGGCTGTATGAATTACTTAAATAACACTGCTTAGTTTATTAGTATATGGCAGTGTGGTCCATTTGGCTGTTCATGAAGACCATAGATAATACTCATTGATATATATATATATATACACCTGTGAGAGCATGTACACTTCAGAGCTGTTGAGAAAATATGCTACAGTTAACACAAGAGATTCATATAAGTGCAATAAAGTCTTATTCATCCATTGATACTGTAACAGCAATATGGTTAAACCAAGTCAAACAGTACCATTCTATACTTCTGATACATCCTAGAGTCTTAGTTATCTAAAGTTAGATATGGTAATCCTTGTTTTATACTCCTGTACATGTACTTGATCTTTAATTTTAATGAAAATTGATAGGGGAATATTTAATACATGTATACGATGTTGATTATATGAAATGTGGTTTATCAGATGTGATGTTTGTGTGCTGAGAACTGGATGATGACTGGGACAGAGGGAGTGATTGAGGGATTCATAGTTGGGACAGTATTATTTTAGATCTCTCGTGTGTGTGTAAGAAAAGTTGGTATTGTCTATGGACCAAAAATCAAGGTCATCCCAACTCTTCTGTACATGTAGATTATCAGTATATGTACATTGCTAATTTTTAGTTTGTAGACACATTTATTGTTTTCTGTAAACACTTAACACTCAGGTGTGTCCCCCAACCCCTCCTTTGTTTTAGTAATTTTGGGGTCCCATAGATCTGGTCGAGAACAAACCAATTTACAGCGAGCAAAAAAGTGTAGAAACTTTTACCCATAGCATCTGTTCTAAATGTTGTAGAGAGATGAGTTTGGTACCATAATCATCTTGAATGAATTCTCTACAAATTTTCTCAATAAAACAAACCAAAACCTTTTATTTAGACACAATGTGATGATGGCAACAAAAAACATTCATACACTCCTAGCACGAAAAACCCAAGCGGCTAAAGAAAAGTTGATACACTACAGGTGAACAAAAGTCCTGGGAGTGTTACTGTTACCTGTAGAGACACTTATTGTTACTTGTGGACACTTATTGTTATGTATTGACACTTATTGTTACCTGTAGACACACTTATTGTTACCTGTAGACACACTTATTGTTACCTGTAGACACACTTATTGTTACCTGTAGACACACTTATTGTTACCTGTAGACACACTTATTGTTACCTGTAGACACATTTATTGTTACCTGTAGACACTTATTGTTACCTGTTGACACTTATGTTACCTGTAGACACACATACACACACTATTACTTGTAGATACACTTATACATGCACACAGCTTCTTGTAAACACTACATACACACAGCTTCTTGTAGACACAATATCACATGTATTGTACACACATGGGAGTGAAAATTAGTATCAGGCCAACTTAAGAATCCCTGAAATAGTCCCTTAAGAGAAAGAGAACTATTGAAATGGTTCAGTGTCTGACAATACACAGTTAAAAGATGCCACCACCCATTGTACAGTCATGGTCCTAAGTCCTGTCACCTCTCCTGCTGCTCCACAAACTCAAGAGATTCAGACTTGTAAGCCCAAAGCAGTCGACGCCGAGGCATTATTCTGTCTGCGGATGCTTCACACTCACGAGTCTGAATCTCGGGGTTTGTGAAGCAGCAGGTGACAGGACCTATGACCGTGACTCTACATTGATGTGCATTAGCCTGTAAAAAGTACGCTGAAATTTTTTATATAAACCTTTATAGTTTCAATTGGATTTCTAAGTCCCTGTACTTGTGAGTGATATTATATATGATGTTAGAGGAGCTATTTAGACATAACTTACAAAATCTGAGTGTATTTGGTATATGAAGAGCTATTAAGACATATATGACAGAATCTACAGTAAATTAAATCATTGGGAGTTATATTGTGACTATCTTATCCAACATGTCTTCTGCACTGTAATATTAGCTCAATGTTCTACAAGATAAAACTTTAATCAGTGACGAGTTATGCATAATTGTCATACCTATTAGATGATTTGTATTTCAGTAATGATGCAACAGTAACAAATCAAATAACTGCAGATGTATTGTATGTTTACCTCATGTAAGGTACAATTTGGCAACAAATATCATTTATATGTAAAAAAAATATGCTTGTGTTAGGTTAGGTATTTATTTTACATTAAATATATATATGTACCAGAGACTATGTTAATAATAGAGTTAAACATTCTGGCTTGTATTGTATTTCCTAATACGTATTTTATATCATCCATGTTGTCTTGCATCTACCTGTACAGTATAGTATTGTGCTTGTACCTCATGGGAGACTAACAAAACGTCAGCAAAAATCAAGATATTATTATAAAGAACAACTCAAAAAGTTTTATTTACAAGCTATAGAAGTTCAATGGGAATTCCTTTTGTGGCTCAGCCGATATCAAAGCGGTATTCTGTTTCCCTTCGTATATTTTGTAGTGTATCATATTTAAGTTAACTGTCTCACATATCCACTCCTTCAAATTTTATGAAGTGGAATACAAACTTCATTTATGACATAACTGCGGAGGCTAATGTGGCTATGGCAGTTTTTCATAATGTTTAAAATTGAGAAAGAAAAAGTGGCTATGCTACTTTTTTTTTTATAATGTTTCAAATTGGGGTAAGCATACCTGTTGGTGTTATTGGTGGAGCACCCTCTATAGGGAGACTCAGGCCAATAAGGATCAAGCGCGAGGTTTACAAAATGGTGCCACCTGGTAACAGTACTCTGGGAAAAGATGAAAAAGTTAAGCTGACTCAATAAAACATATACATCATCTGGCTGCATTGTGGGAAATAGACTAACATAAGGAAAGTTTGAGCGCACAGCACCTTCTATACCCAGGACAGTTCAGAGCTTTAGAAATATAGAATGCAGATGCCTAGTGCAAAGTTATATTAACTCTCCCTGTAGAAATGCTTGGATAGCCTCAATGCTTATTTTGTTCCCTTTAACTTGAGTGTATTTTCTTGTTGTCTTGTGTACATATATCTCAGAAACATTTAAAGTTTAGCACTGTACAGCACTCTAATCTGAATTATTTCCTTCCTAGCTACATGAAAATTTAATAGACTGAGTATAAAAACTGTACCAAGGCAGTGCAGGTATACAAACAATGTACCTAGACAGTGCAGGTATACAAACAATGTACCTAGACAGTACAGGTAAACAATGTACCTAGACAGTGCAGGTATACAAACAATGTACCTAGACAGTGCAGGTATACAATGTACCTAGACAGTGCAGGTATACAATGTACCTAGACAGTGCAGGTATACAAACAATGTACCTAGACAGTGCAGGTATACAAACAATGTACCTAGACAGTGCAGGTATACAAACAATGTAGTACATACAATGCAGTGCAGGTATACAAACAATGTACCTAGACAGTGCAGGTATACAAACAATGTACCTAGACAGTACAGGTATACAAACAATGTACCCCTAGACAGTGCAGGTATACAAACAATGTACCTAGACAGTGCAGGACAAATGAACAACAGGTATAGACAGTGCAGGTATACAAACAATGTACCTAGACAGTGCAGGTATAAACAATGTACCACAGGGATGACAGTAGGTATACAAACAATGTACCTAGACAGTGCAGGTATACAAACAATGTACCTAGACAGTGCAGGTATACAAACAATGTACTTAAACAGTGCAGGTATACAAACAATGTACCTAAACAGTGCAGGTATACAAACAATGTACCTAGACAGTGCAGGTATACAAACAATGTACCTAGACAGTGCAGGTATACAAACAATGTACCTAGACAGTGCAGGTATACAAACAATGTACCTAGACAGTGCAGATATACAAACAATGTACCTAGACAGTGCAGGTATACAAACAATGTACCTAGACAGTGCAGGTATACAATGTGCATCGGCAGCGCTGGTAAAGAAACGATGGTAAACCAAACAGTAAGGCAATGTTGATATTTTTCTCCTACACAGACGTTCCCCACATACCTATCTTCCGTCATAGCTGGCGGGGAGGGGGCTTGGCAGGTGGCCCAGGTGGTGAGTTTGATAACTATGGGTGTAAGGTCGTGGCGAAGCTCTGTTACAGACGAGACATAGCTAAAGGAGGAGTGTTTCTTCTCTCTACTTCTAGTGCTACATTGCGACTCGATTTGACACAAGTCAAGTAAGTGATTATTAATATATTATATGGTTCTGAAGAAAAGACTCCCGAACATCTCATAACTTTTGAAGATGACTGACAATTGACAAATTCGCTACACAGAAGTACTCTACGGCACTTAAGTGTTTTTCACCAGTATTACAAATTAACCAAACTAATTACTGAGCGACACAGCACCTGTAAGTTAAGTTTGTTGTTCTTTGCTCATTACCAAATTTGCATTATTGTATGTGGACTTCCACCGCCAGCCAAGACCACACTTTAAGATCAGAATCGCGATATTTTTCCCGTAAGAACCATGCTATAGTTGTTTTTAACATCCATTATGACAGTTTGATGTGGTTCACCCTTGGGCGCACCTGGCTACAAACGTTAAACGTTTCTTCTCTCATGTTTGTGGACAATACGTGACTAAATGAATTGAAATGACTGCGATGATGACTTCAAGAATTTCCCATAAATTTATTACCTAATGTACATTTTTTACGCCGAACTATATTCCTGCATTATCTATTAATGCCGATAAATTTTTAAACTTGTATGATATACCTGTAATCTAGGAGCTGTGCGTGACGTCATAGATCAGCTGAGTTTGTCTACGCGCGGCGGCTTAAACCGTTTATTGACTACCAACAGAACATTTTCTCCATATATTGACCATAGTATTTTACTGACGCTGTTTGAGGGGCACAGACATACAAAGGAAAGTCAAAGTGATATAATTCTGGTGCTCCCAACAAGTAAACAACAGTCATGGTGTTTAATGGACGGTAAGTATGTACACACAGTAACTACTATCATTGTAAAAAGTTATACCTACATTCATTTAGTCTAACAGGAATATCAGATCACAATTCTAAAAGGAATATAACTTATACAGCCAAGCAAGTACTGTACAACAGTATACGAATGTTTTGTGGTCTAGTGTGTTAACGATACTTACCTGTACTGTATATATTCTGTCATAAAATTTGGGTTTTAAATAGTTGCTGCTTCAGTGTGTTGGATCGTTATAGGAAAAAGGTTGATATTCTACCATTTATAGTTCAATTATAAGCCTAGTATAATATAGCGAACTCAGTGCAATACAGTAGTATTAAATTTCCAATAAATTAGTTTTTAGTTCAGCGGTCGTATGATTATATTTCTACATATACCCAACCATAAAATATTTCTACACATCCAATATATTCTCGTTGTTCCATAGAAATTTTATTTACAATGTTAGAGATGATGAGTAAAAGTTCAGGAGGCCCAGATTTCCGGCAACTTGCAATTACAACATTCAACACTGTACTCCGAAGCATTACTGGAATTTATGGATAGCCAAACTAGGTTATCTAGGATGTAATGTCTTCCAATCTTTCTGACTGCTTAATATACTGATGCACTCACAGAATGTTTAGTACAAGAGTATTGTGGTTTTAAAACTACTTTGTGTTACATAAGTTATGGGAGTCACCGAGTCATGTACTGTGTTACGTTAGTTAGATGAGTCACGCCGCATTCCTCCCTCAGCTGACTGCTTGGCTGTCCTGAGTGACGTCACAGGAAAGCTCACGTCAGAGTCAGTTTTACCAACAACCTTATTGTACAATACATTATTTTGGTCATCGCGCTACTTTGAGATCTATCAGTATGAGAACCCTTCATTAAATACAAATAGAATAATTTTCTGTAATTAATTTATTTTATTGGTCATTATTAATGAAAAACATGACCACGAGTTTTTAGATTTTAATATACTATAAGAAAACCACAAAGAGAGGGAGTTCTTGGAATGTTGCCAAGGCGTGTCTGGCAGTGTTGGGGGAGGTAAACCAACACGTACACCTGCTGATGCAACTTGCAGGTTACGTTATGATAAAATATTCTCATTTTAGCCTGCCTTACAACACTACATTACAGAGTGTGACTTTATTTCAGATTTCAAGGGTACAGTTTGTTGTTATGCCTCGTAACCACCTCACCTCACCTCCACATTTTGTATTCTCAGTTTACATGGGTATAGTCTACTGCGTTCTTTATATACCTGTACCATGACCCATTATACCCTACCTTTTATACCAAACACTGCTTAAAGATGTTACAGAAATTATGTTAACTTTGATAAATATGATCACTGTATCCTGGAATACCCTGCCACCAAACCCGTGTAGCCTTAGCATGCGGTGACGTAAATTAAAATGTAAATGCTGAAAATAACGTGTGTGTGTGTGTGAGCTGTCGGGATCTCTGGCTCAGCGTATAATAATAATTTTAGATTCACTTGTTGACAAAATTAGGATATTTCCGGTAACGTTTGGCACTATTTTGAGGGTCATGTTAGTAAGAGGTTTACATTTTATCTTTCTACAGCTTCTTATTTCTGCCCTTTTTGGATCACCTGAAGCATAACCACCCTAACGTTAACCTAACCTAACTCAACCTAACTTAACGCTACCCTACCAAAGCAGACCTAACCTAATGATAACCTAACCAAACTTAACTTTACCTAACCTAACTTAATGCAAACCTAACCTAATCTAACCTAAGTTAACCTAACAAAATCTGTTTAAACTATCTTAATCTAACCTGACAACCTAATTTAAAACCCTAAGAAATATAAGGGTGGATAATCTTTAGTTGATTTAAATTTGTGTCTAATTTTCAGGATGTATTATTTATTATTATTTTTTTTTTAATTTGAATAGTTACAATAAATAACTAATACCGTTTACTAGGAATAGAATTATAAAACCCACAAACAAGATAGTGTATGCTGCCAAGTGTCCTGGACTTTTGGCCATAACTGCCTATTCATTATTTGTGTTGCCAAGTAGGATTATATATACCTGTATATGATGTTGGATTTTCTATTTGTTTCTTACTCACTTTTTTTACACCTGGGCAAGTTTTAGATACACATAGATAAATAGATTTCTTCAATAACGTCGTCATGCAAGTATACATTGATTCAGCATTAGTCATGGTTATGTTGGCGTTGTTCTTCTTGCGATCATTCTAACTAAGACATACACACACACACACACACACACACACACACAGTTATATAATTCTTCATTCATATCATCAGCTATTTAGAGTGACATAGCCCTTCTTAGAAATAGTGCTAGACAGCCTGGCGGGAGGTAGGTGTCTTACCCGGCCTGCCAGACGAACAAGCAATATTGAACCTAGATAAATACTCGTAAATAGATTGATAAATATTCAGTAAAATTGTCATATAAATTTACAGTTGATTCAGTATATATAAAAACAACGTAGGTCTACAATGTACATAGGTATACAAATGATGGTAGACAGTGGAGGTATACAAATGATGGTAGACAGTGGAGGTATACAAATGATGGTAGACAGTGGAGGTATACAAATGATGGTAGACAGTGGAGGTATACAAATGATGGTAGACAGTGGAGGTATACAAATGATGGTAGACAGTGGAGGTATACAAATGATGGTAGACAGCGGAGGTATACAAATGATGGTAGACAGTGGAGGTATACAAACAATGATAAACAGTCAGACAAATCGACCAAGGAGAAACAACAAAGCTGTCAGATGTTTATTTCCACACTAGTATACTATTAAGTCTACACATGGCAGCTGTGAAGGTTGTCTACGCCACACTACTGTATTTCACTAGATAATTATGTGTTTCTTTCTTACCATGAGTTGTGCCTTTTATTTTGGGATCACCTGAAGATTAGCCCACCTAACTTATTTCACCCGCAGATTAACCTAACCTAACCTAATCTAACCTAACCTAACCTAACCTAACCTAACCTAACCTAACCTAACCTAATATCTGACCTCATCTATCTATATACACAATATAACTGTCTATCGATCTATCTATCTATCTATCTATCTAATTATCTATTTTTTTGTGGACATTATGAGGCCACGTAATATCTTGGAACACTCTCCCCCCCATGTTAATAATACAGTGAAATACGACGGCCATCTTGCGTGGATTACCAGTGTGTGTGCGTGCGTGTGTGCGTGGTTATGTGGGGGGGGGGGTAAACTGGTGCCTTGCTGTCGTACTTATATATGTAGACAAGAGGTATCCATTGGCAGGTCATTAGTTATTAGGTATCCATTATTGTTATTGTATTATTATTATTATTATTATTATTATTATTGCTATTGTTATTATTATTATTATTATTATTATTATTATTATTATTATTATTATTATTATTGCTATTATTATTATTATTATTATTATTACATTGTTATTGTTATTGTTATTATTATTATTATTATTATTATTATTATTATTATTATTATTATTATTATTATTATTATTATTATTATTATTATTATTATTATTATTATTATTATTATTATTATTATTATTATTATTATTATTATTATTATTATTATTATTATTATGTCTTGTTTACTCATACATACACAGTCTGATTAGTTAGTTTATCCCTACATGGCAAGATTAAGTTAGGTTAGGTTAGGTTTGTGGTAGCGTTAAGTTAGTGATAGGTTGGGCTAGTGTTAGGTTAGGTTAAGTGATAGTTTGGGTAAGCGTTTGGTTTGATGAGGTTAGTGTTAGGTTAGTGTTAGGTTAATATAACCTAACCTAACTTTACCTAACCTAACCTAACCTAACCTAACCTAACCATATATCATCAACAATAACAAGCTCTAATGATGTGATTTTCATTTGTTACAGAACCTCCGAACGACCTCAATTCACCACTCCTGACTCCCAACCAAGAACAGAACTGGATCATTAGTATTATTTATCACGCCTAAGGAAGCACCATAGCTGTGTTCTTCTCATATAAACACAGTATCTTAAACATCATTATTATATTACTCTTGACGATTAACATCCATCACACGTTATTATACTGCTAAACAATACATATCCTTGTCAATTAAACTTAAAAATGCCTCATATTCGTCATCATAAATCTCTCTTGCATTACTCGTAGTGGTATTGTTAGAATAATGCTCAGAAGATCATAAATACTGAGTAGAATTTTCAGTGGCACCAGAATACGGTTACTGACTTCCACACACATTAGGTCTGTTGGTCATTCCACTCATCCACACACAGAACTAAGGCATTCCACCAGATTGTATTTATTACGTACTTATCATTATATTAACACCGAAACTGAAAGTGGGTCACATAAACCTGGCTACCCGTTAAGGACAGTGTGGATGTAGCATACTGCACACCTAAACCTTCAGTACACAAGGAGTCAACCTGGTCGGTACTGCACTCGACCTTCTCCACTTCTCCAGCTTGTGAATTCAGGTACACCATTTACACCTGGGTGGCTTGAGAGTGTCCCGGGATCGAACCAGTGACCCTTAGGACAAAAAAACAAGAACTACATCCACTCAGCCACTGCATCCTATAATCCTACAACAGGAACTTACTCAATTTCACACACAAAAACTGTTAAAGAATCCTCAAGGACTATTAATACTAAACCGTATATAATTATTTAAGTAATACATAACAAATTTATTAAACTAAAAGAAATACATATTTATATAAAACAAACAAAAAACAACAACAAGAGGACCCTAGACAGACATGGCTGGCTGTCTGTCAACGCTCGCCAAGGGGTTCTGGAAGGTGCTTGACAAGTAAGAAATAAACGCTAGTGTCTTTCTTGTGTTGTTCATATACTGATATTATTTTTAGATGCAGATTATATTTTTCTCTTTACGAAATGGATAAAGTTATTGTCAAGCTGGTTAAAGTTAGTGCTAGGTTAGGTTTAAGTTAGGTTAGATTAAAGTTACAGTAGGCTGGGTAGGTTAGGTTGGGTTAGTTAGATTAGGTTAGGTTGGGTTAGTTAAGTTAGGTTAAATTAAAGTTAGGTTAGGCCTGGTTAGGTCGGGTTAAATTAAGTTAGGTTAAATTAAAGTTAGGTTAGGCCTGGTTAGGTCGGGTTAAATTAAGTTAGGTTAGATCAGGTTAAATTAAAGTTAGGTTAGGTTAAGCTGGCGCCTAATAATTGAAGCCCTATATTCTTCACAGGTACCCAGTAACCCGCGGGATGGTCACTTATGCCGTGTTGTGGCCGGCGGGGAACCTCCTCCAGCAGGCAGTGGATGGGTCCCGCACCTCTTATGACCTGCTGGAGGCCCTACGCTACGGTGTTTACGGCTCCTGCCTCACCGCCCCTCTGCTGTACAAGTGGATCAAGGTGTTGTGTTACTTCATACCTGGTACAACACTCCGTCACGCCATTGCGAAGGTGAGTCTCTCTCTCTCTCTCTCTCTCTCTCTCTCTCTCTCTCTCTCTATGTTTCTTTGTCTCAGTTTTGTTCTTAGTTACTTTAGCCGCTGTTCTCTCTCTGTGTGTTCTCTCTCTCTCTCTCTTTCTTTATCTCAATTTTGTTCTTACTTTATCCGCTGTTCTCTCTCTGTGTTCTCTCTCTCTCTCTCTCTCTTTTTATCTCAATTTTGTTCTTACTTTATCCGCTGTTCTCTCTCTGTGTTCTCTCTATCTCTCTCTTTATCTCAATTTTGTTCTTACTTTATCCGCTGTTCTCTCTCTCTCTGTCTCTCTTTCTTTATCTCTCTTTCTCTATTTTTTTTCTGTTGTCCCTCATATAATTATCATATTCAAATTTTCATCATAAAGTATTCACAGTGTTCACGAAAATGTTCACCATACATAAAATGTTCACTTAATTTTTTCACCATACGTAAAGTGTTCACCAAAATTGTTCTCCATACATAAAGTTTTCACTAAAATTGTTCACCATGCATAAAGTGTTCACTCAAACTGTTCACCATACATAAAGCGTTCACTAAAATTGTTCACCATACATAAAGTGTTCACCAAAAAATTTTCACCATACATAGAGTTCACAATGTTCACCATATATAAAGTGTTCACCATACATAAAGAGCTCACCAACAATATTCACCATCAATAAAGTGTTCACCAGCCATAAAGTATTCATCAAAAGTGTTCACCAGCCATAAAGTGTTCATCAAAAGTGTTCACCATACACAAACTGTTCACACACACACAGGGTTACGTGGACCAGCTGGTGTTCGCTCCCTTGAACATCTCTCAGTTCTACCTGGGCATGTCGCTGTTGGAGGGCCGCCCGCTAGAGGAGACCGTACAGGAATGGCAGGACAAGATGTTACCTACCTGGATGGTCAGTTCCCCCCCCACCCTCTTTCTCTGTCTTGTGGTGCCCTTGACAAATTCTCTGGAGTGTGTGTGTGTGTGTGTGTGTGTGTGTGTGTGTGTGTGTTCGTTCTCGTTTCATGGAGTGTTTGTGTGGGGGGGGGCAGGGATGACGTCACGTGTAGTTTGGTATGACGTCACAGATCAGAGGCAGGTGGTGGTAGAGTGCCAAGGGTTAGTGTCCGTGTTGTGACAATACATACACACACACACACATACACATACACACACAGATACATCCATACACACACACACACATACCTGGAGTCAGACGCCTTTGTTCCACCTCAAGACACTATATATATGACAACACGATACAAGCTTACATCAGTGTTTGGAAGAGGGGAGGGAGGAAGAGGAGGTGGAGGAAGAGGAGGAGGAGGTGGTGGAGGAGGAGGAGAAGGAGGAAGAGGAGGAGGAGGAGGTGGAGGAGGGAAAGGAGGAAGAGAGAGAGAGAAGAGTAAGAGGAGGAAGAGAGAGGAGGAGGAGGTGGTGGAGGAGGAGGAGAAGGAGGAAGAGGAGGAGGAGGAGGTGGAGGAGGGAAAGGAGGAAGAGAGAGAGAGAAGAGTAAGAGGAGGAAGAGAGAGGAGGAGGAGGAAGACAGAATGAGTGGGAAACACCGTAAAATATTCACAGGGTAAACTTGACTGTGTTGGCGGATAGGCGGGGAGGTGAGCTGAAGTGAACAGGGCATCTCTTGTACACTGTAAACACATCTCTAACAGTACTAATAAACCTAACACATCTCTAACACATCTCTAACAGTACTAATAAACCTAACACATCTCTAACACTACTAATAAACCTAACACATCTCTAAAACATATCTAACACTACTAATAAACCTAACACATCTCTAACACATCTCTAACACTATTATATAAACAAGCTAGTAATCTGTTTTTGATAAGTCTGTTTATTTATTTACTTATTTAGGTTAGATTAAGTTTCTTTAAGTTTCTTTAGGTTAGGTTAGGTTAGGTTAGGTTAGGTTAGGTTAGGTTTGGTTTGGTTAGGTTTGGTTAGGTTAGGTTAGGTTAGGTTAGGTTAGGTTTGGTTGGTTAGGTTAGGTTAGGTTAGGTTTGGTTAGGTTTGGTTAGGCTTGCTAGGCTTTAGGTTAGGCTTGGTTAGGTTAGGTTAGGTTAGGTTTGGTTAGGTTAGGTTAGGTTAGGTTAGGTTTGGTTAGGTTTGGTTAGGTTAGGTTAGGTTAGGTTAGGTTAGGTTAGGTTAGGTTAGGTTTGGTTAGGTTTGGTTAGGTTAGGTTAGGTTAGGTTAGGTTAGACCATCAGCTGCAGATAGTACAGTACGGTACAAGTGACACAAGCAGCGTTCCCAGGTGATGGTGGAATTCTTGGCAGCGATTCAATGACCCGTGGTAGAGCACCCCCACCATTGCCCCCCTTCCCCCCCTCCCCCCTACCTCCCTTCCCCTCCATCCCTCCTTCCTCCCTTCTTTTCCCAATCCTCCCTTCCCTCCCCAACCTTCCCCCCTCCCCCATCTTCCCTTTCTTTGTCCCTCCCCTACCTGTCTTCCTTTCTCCTTCCCACCTACTTCCTTCTCTCCCTCCTCTACCCTCCTCCCCTCCCTCCCTCCCTCCCTCTTCCTCCTCCCACCCCCCTTCCTTCCTCAGCGACATTGACCCACATATCTAAGTTTAGAATTCTTGTTTGTGTTTCTGTGTGTGCCACGCTTACGGCATCACATGAAGATTAGACATCCCAGCTCAGTTTATTTCACCTTAAGATTAACTAACATTAGCGCTGACCTAACCTAACTGAACGCTGACCAAATCTAACTTAACGCTGACCTAACCTAACTGAACGCTGACCTAATCTAACTTAACGCTGACCTAACCTAACTGAACGCTGACCTAATCTAACTTAACGCTGACCTAACCTAACTGAACGCTGACCTAACCTAACCTAACTTAACCTAAACCCCTCTAGGTATAACGTTAGGGTATATAATCATCAGTTGTCCGATTCATCAGAGTGAACCATAACAAATACTGTTATACATTACTCACCAGTCAGTATCAACACTCACACAAGACGTCCCCCAACAGATAAGTCTCTCCATCTGGCCCGTCATCCAGACTCTCAACTTTAGCATGGTGCCAGAGAAGAACCGCGTGATGGCCATATCGTGTGGGTCCTTCCTGTGGATGATCTTCCTCTCTTACATGCACCACACCAAGGCGGAGGAGCTGCCTGAAGAACTTACCACGCGTCGGGTTCATTATGACTACAAACACGGTCAGAGAGAGGTGTTGGAGTTTCTAGTGGCCGGGCACAAGTTTGATCACACCGCTGCTGCCAAGTAAGTCTGGCTGGCTTGTGAAGATAAATAGATAGATAGATAGATAGATAAATAGATAAATAGATAAATAGATAAATAGATAGATAGATAGATAGATAGATAGATAAATAGATAGATAGATAGATCGCCATACAAGTTTACAATTGGTTCAGCATGCATATACTGTACGGTACTATATAAACATTGCAGATACAGTATACACAGTTCAGTATGTATATATATACAATGTAGGTTAAGTTAGATCAAGGATCACCTGAAGATTTACCGCCAACTTGTTTCACCTTAACAGTAACCTAACCTAACCTAACCTCCAGGTAGCGTTAGAGTGGTTAAAATCATCCGGTGAAATAAGCAAGGACGTCTAATGTTCAGGTGATCCTTAGATTATATTAGGCTAAACTAAACCATTCAATGTACACCTGGGTAACAATATGCAGTTGTCCCACCCCAGGCAGTCCACCATCATTTTGAGATTATATGACGCATTATGGAAAGCAAGTTCAGGGAGAAGAAAATTCAATTATGGGGGAGGCGAGAGGAATACAAGATGAGAGAGAGAGAGAGAGAGAGAGATGATGAAGTCTGCATGGACGGCATTCCGACAGTTTAATTATGAACAGGAAGGGAATACTAAATAGGAAACTGTCGGGTTTAGGTGTGAAAGAGGCGTACTCCAGGTGACCATAGACTGAATATTATCCAGCCATTAATGATTAGAATAACAGTAGGAATAAAGGAAGATAAAGATGATAATTTATGGATATTAGGAAGGAGGAGGAAGGAGTGACGAAGAGGGTGTGTTATAGGTTTGTCTCTAGGGTGAGGGAGGTAGGGTGTGTGTAGGGTGAGGGAGGTAGGGTGTGTGTAGGGTGAGGTGAGGTAGGTAGGTATACAATCCTCTCTTACTTCTCACGTGGGATTAGTTCACGTGAGAGAGATTTACTGGAGGAGGAAACTACCGTCTTGTTTACCAATATTTGAGTCACCTGAAGATTAGGACCACGTTCCTTTAGTTTATTTTATCTTAATGTTGACCTGGTGGAGTTAGGTTAGGTTAGGTTATCTTGGATTAGGTTTGGGTGAGTTAGCTTAGGTTAGGTTAGATCAAGTTAGGTTAGGTCAGGTTAAATTGTGAGGTTAGTTTAAAGTTATTATGGTTAATCTTCAGGTGATCCGAAAAACATGATTAATATTTTAGTTCCAAGATAAATAAATAAGTTATAATTATATCATCTTTATATTATATGACTCTGAAACAATATATAGTATAAATTTAAGGTTTGAGTTGTATAGTCTATATGCCAAGAGAGACAGAGAGAGGCAGGCGGGGGAACAGCTACAATGTTCCCGACATAGAATTTAAAAACAGACGTAAAGAAATAAATGGCGGGATTGGAATGTGGGGGAAGGTATTGGTCTCGATAAAAATAAAAGTTTTGGTTAAATAAAGAACCAGAGAAGTTTACTATATAGTGTGAGTTTTAAAATCCTGTGGTGGAATGATGTGACTGGTGAAGTTACGGTAATGTTGTGTGTGTGTGTCGGAGGAGAAGAACTCAACTCAATAAGGTTGGTGTTGGATTGTGTGTGTGGGAACAGAAGGCTTTTGAGAGAGATAAATCAATATCTGTTGGTTGATCGTGTGTTGTGTTGTGTTGACGCTGTGTTGTGTGTAGATGCTGTCAAATGTACTGTGTTGTATGTTGACGTGTGAGTGTTGTGCTGTTATAAAGTTGATTTTCTTTCCTTTTCCTTCTGTTACAAAAGTGGAAGCGTAGGCGATATATTTTTTGAGAATATATTCGAGATTAAGTATTCCCATTAGCTAAGTCTCATTAATTCTTTTATGAGAAATTAAAAAGCCCTTGTTGAGCGCTACTACTTTAATATTGTCTGGGGTTCCGTGAACGTTTAATCTAGTTTAAATTACTGCAGTATTATTACATTTCTGTGGTATTTTAATGATATTTTTACGTTTAAGTTAGTTTGTTGGATCTTTACGTCTTCAATTACGAGAAATATTTATAAAATGATTCTGTAAATTTGGACCATGTTGATATAATGTATTACTACGTTTAATATCTAAGGTCTTGTTGATGTTATAATGTATTACTACGCTTTAACAACTAAGATATTTAAGCGTTTATTCTAGGTTAGTAAATACAACAGTCGCCAACAAATAATGAGTTAATCGAGATAAACAAAAAATCAGGATTCAAAATACCTCAATAACTTGACCAGTACAATATGTGGTGTTAATACATCTCTCATTGTGTATGTTATTAACACAGTGATGAAATAAGTACATAATGTTTTACAGTTTAACCCAGAAAACACAACCAATATTCCAGAATGTAATAAATGAAATATAATATAGCCTGTGTTCTGAATAATATGTGACAATTCATCTCCATCGGACATTTTCACTCACTCGTCGAACACACATGGTGCACGTTATCAGGGGCCATTCCATCTGAAGCAAAGCGGCAAAATATTGAAAGAGAGTTTGACTGCAGTCTGTTTTGTAGATTAGCGGTATTTACATGAAGCTGCTGCATAGGATAAGAGGAATACTGTAGTGAACGGGCAGAATTTCGTGTGGTATTTGCGAAAGGCGGAACTGTTTATTTCACCCGGGAGAATTTACCTTCCTGGAAAATAAGCATGTTGCTTTGTTGGTAATCCTTAGTTGATACTACTTTACTGTTTACCATTGTTTGCGTACCTCCACTGTCTGTGTATATCGTTTGTACTGTCTCTATATTGTTTGTATACCTGTATTGTCTATGTATATTGTTTGTATACGTATATTGTCGTTGTACATTATATACCTGCAATATATACAGTACTGTATATATTGTTTGTATACTTGTACAGTACTGTTTATGGACATTGTTTGTATATCTGCACTGTCTATATATGTATCAACATTATCCTTATATTAATGTAAATTTAAATGATGATTTTGCGGATTAAATATCCAATCTAATTTAAGCATAGTGTCTCGGTGCTTTTGTTTTAGTTGTCTGAGGGAAAACCATTTTAAAACTCTGCAATGGTAATTTGTCGGATTATAACCAATTTTAATATTCCTTTGTGTGTTTTCTTGCATTACATTTATTTTCACAGTTCGTTGGATCCAATATTGTGCATTACCTAAATATGAGCCAGCCTAAACCTAACTGGGTTGGGAAGGTTAGGTTAGGCTAAATTAGGATAGGATAGGTTACGTTATATTGGGGTAGGATAGGTTAGGTTAGTTCAAGTTTAGGTAGGATAGGTTATGTTGTTAGATTAGATTAGGTTTGGTTAAGTTAGGGTAGAATAAGTTAGATTAGGTTAATTTAGATTAGGTTAATTTAGACTAGGTTAGGTTTGGTTAGGATCGGTTAGCTTAGGTTAACCCAAAGAGTGGATCCCCTTAATAGCTCTCCTGAAGGTAGCTCTCCTGAAGGTACTACGTGTAACTTACTTAACTTACTCTCAGTCTTCTTCTGCAGGGTGTGGAGCGGGTCCGTGTTCCCCGTGACGGCCCACTGCAGCCCCAGCAACACTCAGCCCCAGGGCGAAGAGGTCGTCAAGAAAACTCAGTGACCCCGGCCTCTTCCTTATTCCCCTCCGCCACGACACAAACACCCAGCCACCTCACCCTTACCAACACTCTCACTCCAACAGTACCCACCTTCACCAACACCCACCTACCCTCACTATTATCCGCCCACTCTCATTAACAACCATCTACCCTCACCGGCACCCTCCCTCACCAACACCTACCCTCCCTCACCAACACCTACCATCCCTCACAAACGCCTACCATCCCTCACCAACACCACCCTCCCTCACCTACCATCCCTCACCAACACCTACCATCCCTCACCAACACCTACCCTCCCTCACCAACACCTACCATCCCTCACCAACACCTACCATCCCTCACCAACACCTACCCTCCCTCACCAACACCTACCCTCCCTCACCAACACCCACACCCATTCACGAGAACCCCTCTTGTGCAGGAGGTCCAGAGCACTTCAATATGTAATAAAAAACCAGTGAAAATAAAATATAAAATTCGCGCACAGGGAGATATAACCCATGCACAAAATTTTTAAAAACTCGTGTGACTAAATTTTAAATTTTTTGACTACGAATAACCTGTAGGAATTCAACACTGGTAGAATATGTGCTGTGTTAAAGAGTACATTGCCTGATTATACTCTCATTATACAATAAAAAAAAATTCACTAAAAAACTATTGCATGATTTACATAATTTTTATTTGTTAATGACAATTTAGTTTAGTTTTTCTTGTTTGGTATGTCATAAACATTTCCCGTGCGTTACAAACTACAATACTGTATATATTTTATTTTGTATTTTTTAGAAATTATAAATGCAGAGCATTATATCCCTGTAGTTTCAAGTTAATGTTTCCAGTATTACGCCATTTATTTTTTTATTTTTACAGTATCATGTATTCTGTATCAGACAAGATGGTCAGTCGTATAATACCACGAGAGGGAAGGCAAAAATCGTCCCTTTATTTTATACCAGGCGGCCAGATCCTAGTCTAGTCTACACAACACTCCTATGGTAGTTTTGGTTAGGTTGGAATACTGGTTTGGTAAAATTCGGTGTTGGTGTTATTTTAAAATTATTCATTTTCCTTGTATTAAAACCCGATTAGTGTATTCCTTTTTTATTACTAGTTATTTATTTAATCTACGAATTAAATATCATTATCGAGTTTTAAACTATTTACAATAAAGTGAATAATAAGTCACACTCATAATTATTAATGAAAACAGTTCCGTCGTTGTCAATTATTCCTACCCCCCAAAAATATGTGATGGGTCACTGGTGTTATCGTAGGCCAACTGGATTAACGTCTAATTTTAAGTTGTGCTCAGTAATTGTTGGCAATGTTACACCTCCGTTGATGGTGTTTAGGCTAAATATCTACACTATACACCGAAGGTAAGGAATAATGAAATTTCTTTATTTATGTAAGGTTGTTTATGGATAAACCTAAGTTGTTAAGAAAAGCAGAGAAATACGGTGAGACAGCCGAGTGATGTGTCATTATTAACTTCTCCCATAACACAACTATTGCATTTACTGTAGTACCCCTAGTATATACTCTGTACGTAATAACTGACAAACTGTTATAACCGACAAGTAAAGCTTTTCACGTATACTAGGTATATGATTTAGCTGTTGCATTTTGTTTATAAATTCTGGGATAGCTTGGTTTTGACGTCACGACTGATGGACGTTGCATAATTCTGTCAAAATGAAAACCCGCTAAATTACTGTATGGCAAAATAATTTATAATCTTTGTCAGTTATTAATATTGTACAAGAGGTTTGGCTGTACTTTCTCAGGTAGAAGCATAAATCTCTAATGAAATTACCTTTAACAAACTCGTATGTTCATTATTTAATCAAACAAAAGAAGAAAAATTCTGCAGTTAACGCGATTCATTGAAATCCATATCCGGAAACTCAAAACTCTACTGTAAGCTGAACTGTATTATCCAGGCCTAACTGAATCTATTATAATTATACAGTGCGAAATTAATACAACATATCACAGCCTTAACCAAAATCAACTTGCCCGGACTAGATAATTACGTAATTTTTTTTTTAAGATTTGAGATGAAGAATAATGAATAAAAAGATTGCACAAAGAATTATCCTTATATCAGTATTTTATCTCTGCTTCGTTTAGTGTGAAGGAGGGTGTTTGCATTGAGATTATAATCCTTGTTTGAGTGGATCAGTTCGTATGTAAATAATACAGTACCCTTTGACTACAGCTGTTACGTGGACAACACTTACTTTTTTATTTATCATATTTAACAGCATCATATTGTATTATTCATTTTTTCATGGGTTAAGATAATGTTTGATATTATGAATAATTTATCGGAGTTTACAAAGGAAAATAAGCATCGCGAACCTCAAACTAGTAGTACATTATAGAATATTAGTCAATCGCCCTCAGTTACAATCTGGCAATTAAATGTACATGTGTTATCGTCAGTTAATCATGTCACAGTTACTGTTAGATCACTGATTTGATGACACAGTCGAAAGTAAATAAAATATACAGTATATATAATTGTTAAGTAAAATGCTTCCTGTATCTGAGAAGCATCTTCTTTATTACATCGAGTATTTTTGTATTTTCGTTATTGTGTTTACAAAATAGATTATTATTATTGGTAGTAGTATTTTTGTTATTATCATCATTATTTGATATAATGTTCAGTAAAAGGTAAGAACGTCATTGTTGGTAATTAATTTCACTATAATATTTTTACTCTGCTTGTTGAGAAATATTTTCTTACCAAATTGAGTAAAAGAACAAAGTGTTTGTACGTAAAGTAATATATCTTAATAGTATTCGCATAAATGCTAAATATTTTCTATTAAAAGTTTCGTTAAGCAGAGATATAATGATGACAGCCTAGTAAGCGAGCTAATTCTGGTGCCCCGCCAGTCCGGCACTTATTGGGACAGGACAGAACAGGGAAGCCGTCAAGTTGACACATCAGCTTTAAGCTTCGCAAGGTTAAAAAATTGTATCGAAGGAGGATTGTATAAAAATTCAGAAAAATTCCCCTGAGCTTGCCTGAGGCTGACATGGAAACCCTCGTACATAAATACGTTGAATATTTTATAATAATATTTAGGGAAATCGAGTTGCCGGGAGATATAGTGATACACTCGCTGTCCTTCTCTAACCTTGACCTATATTGCATGTCTATGTAATATAAAGAGCGGCCATATAAGTCTACGCTTTAAGAATATATATGTATTATGAATATCTTGACTAAGTTCCATGATTAGCTTTTTCCAATTTTATTTACCAGATATAACTTTTGTTTAAAGCTTGGGCGGGAGTTTAGTAATATTCGCCATTACGTACGGGTTGTATATTTTATTTATGTATATAATTATGTAGTGCAATATTATCATCTTAGAGAAAAATGGTGATTCACATTCTTATATCAGTCATTTTAGTATCTTATTCCTTCCATCTTCCAACTTTTTATATACATTTTGTAATATTCACGACAAATTTAATCTAAAATAATGTAATGTTTATATATGCTCTGAAAGATTGGTCATAAGAATGTTAGAATTCCAAAATAAAATGTTACCGTAAAACTCGTATTATTATTTCCCCGGCAGCGAAGGGATGTTTACTGAGATGGCCAAGCCTAATTAAGAGTTTCATTATTCATGCTTTGAGGGGACAAGTCTAGCATAAGTAGTTTGAAGTTTCATATCAATTATCAAGTTATAAATTTTCTTTATTATAATGACAAAAACTATTCATCACAAGAACTGTATTTCATATTCATGGTGAAAAATGAGTCTATCTTTCTCTCTCCACAATGAAAACTTTTTAAACTTCATAATACGCATGTAAGAAAAGTAGCTCATTTTCGTATTTCCGGGGGACAAGAGTTTGATCAAAGGTGGGTTGGTGCGGGGCTCTTCACAGCCCCCAGGACCGTTGTGGGTTGTTTGACCTGTGTCCGGGTGGGCTAATTCCCGTAAGAAAAAAAAAATCCTTTGGGAGATGCAATTGAAGAAAAAAAAATCCTCACGGGGAAAAACATTGTTGCTCACTCAGTCAGGAAAGGCGGTCATCGTGCTTTCTAGTGTTCGAATGGTGAACTTTATGTCTGACACCTTCACTTACAAGTCAAGGAGCTTCAGATGTTTCTTTTTTCTACTTGTTTCCAATTCCCAAATGAGACAAACTTCAAGATATCATGAACAAGGTGTGGTGAGCGAGCGTGGTGGCCATGTTGACAACATGCTTCTCTGCATTTTTTAAGAGATCAGTTTCTACTGTTCTCATAGGAAGGTCACTGAGGCAGGAAATTTATTTCGAAGCGACCCCGTGAATAGTGGCAACCCCCGGCTGATATTTTCTATCAGGTGGTAGCTTTCAAACCCCTTTACACAAAGTTTAAGGAACCATATTACGAGTTCTACGTTGTCATGTTGTTTGTGTAAAGATGACGTTCATATAGTGAGTCTTGGGCGAAAAATAAGTGTTATGTCAACTTTGAACCTCTGAACTTATAACTATACGAACATTTGTGAAATTAAAGTTAAATTGACACTGAGTTTTAGGCCATGAACAAGCTAGGCTTGGACATCTTTACGCACACACGTACACAGAGGTTACCTCCTTCATGTTCACACGAGGTTTGTAAGTTCAAATTATTCCCCGTGTCACGTTGTACTCCTTGTTGGTATTATAATACGCTATTGTGCTTCATCATCGAAGGTCTATTAACGCGTTCTGTAGATTTTTGTACTGGTGAATATCATTATCCAGCTGCAGCTCGGTAATAACTCCACACAGCAGGTCTTCATATCAACCACTGCTATTGGCTGAATATTCTCTCAATCCCGGATAACAGCCAATGAACGAGCGCCTTGCTATAGGTGTAGGCGGCAAGGCTGGTGATATCAACAAAGTGTCTTGTTCAGGTGGCCACCGGCGGTACAGTTCGTTTTCCGTTGATTTATGGCGTTGAATAACAGACTAGAGGTGTGATGAGGCAATAGTGTTTTAAGAATTATAATAAGAAATATACATGAAGGGTTATGAGTGCATGAAACTCTTGAATTTGTTCTTTTTAATGTAGTTTTGTGATGACGTCAGTTGGACCAGTGTAGTGAAGAAGTGTCATGACCCCTTAAAATGAATTTATGGAAAATACCTGTGTTTTTACTGATGAGGAGAGGGACTATGGTGATGACGTCTTTGATAATGAAGTGTATGGT